CAGCAGCAGCAGCAGCAGCAGCAGCAGCAGCAGCAGCAGCGCAGCAGCAGCAGCAGCAGCAGCAACAACAACAACAACAACAACAACAACAACAACAACAACAACAACAACAACAACAACAGCAGCAGCAGCAGCAACATACTGTAAGTCGACAAATTTTCGGCCCATTCAAATTTCGGCCTCCCAGGGCTAAAACCCATTTCAGTCGCATCAAATTTTCGGCCTGTACTGCTGCCGCCCGTACACATGGTCAAATTGAACCTAGCAAAACAAATTTTCGGCCAAACATGACCAGGCCGAAAATAGCTGAAAATATATTCGCGCCGAATATTTGTTGACTTACAGTACAGTCATACGGAGAGTACATGAAAACTAGAGTGTGCAGCTTGGGCCTTTTTCTGCTATGGGTGTCTGTCACAGCGGAATTCCGTGATTACATCATATTGGCGCAGATCTGAGGCGGGAAATGGCGTAGTGCGTACAACTGAGCTGCAGTTGTGCAGAAAGAGACCTGCTTGAATCCTGCTTGTACGCACTACATCACTAAAACGATGTAATCACGGAATTCCGCCGTGACAGCAACCCATCCGAGCTGCACACTCTGGTTTTCATGTACTCTTGGTCATACACACAGGCAACAGCAGTGGCGGCGGGGGTAGCAGCACCACCACCACCACCGACACAAACAAATGACAGATTTTTAAAACTCGGATACGGGGGATTGCACTTTCCGACCCATCAACACGTGGCGAAACCTGATTCCGATCATCTTGGCATCTTGGCGGTGATTTCATCTGGCGATCTGGACGTTTTTTTGTTGGACATGGTTATGAAAACTACTCGGCAGTACGCATAATACATCCCCGTCGAAACTTGGCCAAATGTTTGAAAAATCACAATATGAAACCTGCCTGGAATTGTAAAGAAAAATGCACAGGGTACAGCAGTGGACCAAAGGCCAGTTGGTTGAAACTCTGAGTTTTATGCACACTGCAATGCAGTCATCAGGCAACAGTCCACTGTTGTTGCGTGTAGTACACTCTACCTCCCCCGCAGTATTCAGCACTCTTAGCACACTACGCATCCTCTGGCAAAGCAACAATTATGAAATCTAACAACTTTTCATCATAGCCTAGGAGCTGTGGCATCATTCATGATCCACAGCAAGAAGGCAGCAATGCCTGTACCTATGGTGAAGTAAAATAAAGGTAACATAACATAACAGCAAGAGTACATAACCCCAAGAGTGTGCAACTGCCTGCACAACCTCTATGCTGTGCTGCGACGGCAGAACTTCACATCACGTGACATGGTTCGAAAGGTTATGCTGGCAAACAGTGCAAAGTGATCACAAGAGAGTTGTACCCAAAGCTGGGCTGCGTACAACCCAGTATCTATCATGCACAGAGTGCAAATAATGTGCACGGGTTCATCACGTGATGTGAAGTTCTGCCGTCGCAGACCCCATAGCTGGAGTTGCACACTCTTGGGTTATGTACTCTTGATAACAGGCAGGCCATGAAAATCGCTCTCAAACCTACCCAGTTGTCCATGGTCTCGGCTCTCTGCAGTAGCTTGCCGTGCAGCCTCTCGCCATCCCCGCCGGATCGCATAAACTTCTCCGCGTTGCGCTCAGTCTGACTCAGCTCTTCGGCGCTCAGGTGCGGCCGCAACGAGTCGACGTACTTCCGCAGCGTCTGCCCAAGCGGCGGCACAGGCAGTTTGGGCAGGTCGTCTTGGAAACGCAGCATCTCGCCCTCCTTAGACATATCTAAAACCAGAGTGCATCATAGCGGAATACAAGTGTTGAGTGCAAAAAAAAGAGAAGAAACACATGAGAACGAGTTATGCAGCAACTATCCACGACTGTAACAAGATGATAAACAGTCAGAAAGTGCGAAAATACTGAGGGCACGCGTTTCTTCTCTTTTTTTTACGTTTATTACTGGCTCAGTATCCAAGTTAAAATTGTGCACAAGTGTTGAGTACTGTTTTATACACTGGTTCTTTAGGGGGGGTACATACTGATTAAATTATGACAGGCTGCAATGCGAGTGCAGGAGCGCAGCCTACGCCTCCTCTCATCTCTCTCTCTCTCTCTCTCTCTCTCTCTCTCTCTCTCTCTCTCTCTCTCTCTCTCTCATTTTTTTTAAATACTTTATTAGTTCTCTTATTAGTTCTCTTGCTCCCCAACCCTCCCCGCTCTTCTCTCTCTCTCTCTCTCTCTCTCTCTCTCTCTCTCTCTCTCTCTCTCTCTTCTCTCTCTCTCTCTCTCTCTCTCTCTCTCTCTCTCTCTCTCTCTCTCCTCTCTCTCTCTCACTCTCTCTCTCTTTCTCTATCTATCTCTCTCTCTCTCTCTCTCTCTCTCTCTCTCTCTCTCTCTCTCTCTCTCTCTCTCTCTCTCTCTCTCTCTCTCTCTCTCTCTCTCTCTCTCTCTCTCTCTCTCACTCTCTCTCTTTCTCTATCTCTCTCTCTCTCTCTCTCTCTCTCTCTCTCTCTCTCTCTCTCTCTCTCTCTCTCTCTCTCTCTCTCTCTCTCTCTCTCTCTCTCTCTCTCTCTCTCTCTCTCTCTCTCTCTCTCTCTCTCTTTCTGTCTAAGTTTCTCTCTCTTTCTCTCTCTGCTATTGGCGCGCCTGGTTGTGATGAAGCCGAGACCCAAGGTCGGCAGAGCATCCCAGACCACGCCACCACTCCCCTTATTCATGGCTCACACATGACGGGTTTACGTGGCTCTAGTAAAAAAAAAAAAAAAAAATACTGTAGTACCCAGTACGTTCGTACATCAGGAGGTAGAAGCATTTTTTTTTACGAGTCGCGAACATTTTTTTCGACTCCCTGATGTACAGACAGTAGCCGCACTTGAACGGGCCCGGCTCTGACCCTATGTCAAGAGTTGTGCCAGTACACGTGTACTGTACCCGGTTGGTTGACATCCTAGAGCAGACACTGGGTACATGTGGCATGCTACATGTACACACTGCATGGTGCAGTGGCAAATTATGACACGTATCACCCCCAAAATGAGAGCTGAGAGAACCGACCCTGCCCGGTTTCCATGTATGGTGGGTTTCAGACTTTCCTAGATGGTCTCGGAGACCAAAAGCAGCACAGGAAGTCATGCATGAATCAAGCTAGACAGGCATGAATTGTGGTGACCTTCACTACCCACCACCCGGTAGACCTAGCCCAAATTTGCCGGCAATTCTTCCAGCGAAATATCGAAATTTTCCACGAAAAGAAATTGCTGGTAAATTCCCAGCAAAATATCGAATTTATAGAGGATCCGGATGTGTTTTGGCAATTTTATTCTAATTTCTTTGGCTTCATTTGGCCAATTTCGTCCTGAAATAGCTCGTACATGTTGTCAGGGGTACATAAATTTGAAATTGTGCCACAAAATCCACAATACTGACACCACTCGTAGTTTTGCTTTCCTCAGCAGAGTCACCATCCACTTTTACCAAAGTAGACGGTTCATTCGAAGCAATTTTTGCCACAAAGCAAGCAGGAGCAAAATGGAGCAAAATATCGGAAACGAAAGGCAATGCCAAGCAAAATATAGAAAGTGCTCGGGCAAAAATTTCCGGCAAAATATCGAAGCTCCCCGAGCAAATTTGGGCTAGGCCTACCACCCGGGCTAAAGTCACAAGAGTCACCTGATCATTGCAAAGGTTAGACTGAGCCAATGGGAGCTCTCGTGGCTAGTTTGAGTTACAGCGACCATGTCCTGTGTAAACGAACTGATCAGCAGCTACACACGCACATGTACATCAAATAATTATGGCTTGACATTCGGCGTTCGTCTTCTCACAGACTAGACCCGGCACAGGTCACCCATCCATGTCACCTGGGTAAGACCCACGCACGGCTCCGGCCATTTTTGGCCCTCCCCCCCCCCGGGCAATCAGAAACATAGCCTAGTCATACACAGACACCAGTGCCTGATCGTTGATGCAAGCCGTCGACTGCATGCAGCCCTCTGGCTCGGTTAAGGCCGTCTAGCTACGGCTACGGCTCTCAAGCTGCAACGAGCCTGATAGTGATGCGAATAAACGATCATGCACCAGTGCCTGTGTACGATTCTTCACTTGTGCCGCAAACTTATCTTGTGATAGAAACCTACCTATTGAGCAAAGTGCGTGCGTGCACATTCGCCAGGACAAGGACACTCCTTTCCAATGACTGATTATGTACTGCGTAATTCTAACCGTCCACCTAGCTAAACTACGCTACTGTTGCACCTGGGGAATTCCCCTAATTCGAGTACAAGCGTTTCGAAAGCGAAAAATAACTGAAAAGCATAGGATTCCTGAGGGGAGACAATTATTTTACGATTGAAAATAGAACCGACAGAGAACATATCAACTACTACACTTGTAGAGTACTGGGCTGCTGTCGTGAACACAATCGCGAGGTACTGGATCATGGACAAGATCGTGTCCTTCCAATGTCATGAAAATCTTCTCTCAGCAAGGCAAAGTGAATAACTGTCAGACGGAAATCTATTTTCACACGTAGCGATTTGAACATAAATAAACACGTGATTCAATCGTTGCACTCACCTGATTTTGAACTCGTCAAGGACCTGGAGAGCAGATTTCTCCCAGTTCGTGCTACTCCTTCCAAAAGCTTTGTTGATCTGATGGCCAGCAGCATCACGAAGCCAACTCCATCGGGGGAGCCGAACCTCTTTTTGGACTCCACACTGATGCTGGACCGACAGCTGACGCATAAAAAGCAGTCATGTACTCTTGATTGCACATTTTGTTTGACCCCTGGCCCTGCCACACCTCCCTTCTGACGCATGGGGACGGATTTCGAAAAGCTCTAATGATCTTTCTTGATTGAAGCCCCATCATCAAAGCATCATCAAACTCACCGGCGCGGCACGTGCATAGTTTGACATGAAGCCAAAAAACATCAAGAAAACGAAAGCAGCACTCGAGTACTCCTTGGCTTCGTCTGCTGGACAGATGCCGATAAAAATATTTGAAAGATCTCATGTGTATCCCTTTCTTATGTGCAAATTTCTTGCTCTGAATTTTATACCATCATTAGTCAGCGGCTGGTACAGATCAGGATCCCATTTTTATCTTTCAGCTCAGACCAATGTCGCTGTGGATTGTATTCTCGTTGCTTATTTTCCTTTCAGAAGGTGAGGGCAGGTGAAATTTTAGCCATTCATCTGTGTAATCATTTGCCCATTGTTGTGCAAACTGTTTGGAACAAGGTGCGACTATGGTACATGTTCAAGCCAAGACTACACTTGTGCGGTAGACTAGACTATGCATGTGGCGCACGTACAATTGTAATGTGGGGTGCATAGAAAAAAATGTTTGCGAACCACTCAGTTACTTGTGAGTCTGCACATCCATGCATCTGGGAATGCACAGTACGAGGTGATTTGGCTTTTTTTAACATTTGGCATTTTTTAACAAATGTGTAAAATTTGCTTTTCTTCTGGCTGTTTCTCTGCTCCGGATGGCTGTATCGAAACATGGGTGGTGGCAAATGGGAGCCAGTTTATCGTAGATCAACATTGACCAGAAAATTTGGTGCATATAATTTAATTCTCCCTGCCACGTTGGTATAACTAGTGGTGGGTGCTTTGCCATTTTGTGTAAAATGTGTAAAATGAGCCCCTGAATGGACGAGGAGGGCAGTGAATTGCTTCCGCAGGGCCTTTGGACGACATCAGGCCGACATCAGGCCGTCTTGCCATCACTAGATACAGTAAAGAAGAACAGTAGGTCACGGAATGCACTCTGTGAGAACGAAAACATCGCTGCGATGCTATGCTATCTATCCAATTCCACCGTATAACACAGCCACTAGTTACAAATACAAAAACACGGCTTTCGCAGCATACAATACAGTTCACTCCTCTGTTGACAGATTAATTTTCATCCACTAGCAATCCTTGAAGTGATATCTATCAACTTCAGAACATTGATGACCGAATATCCTAGTTTGTGATGCCATTTTACAAATTTGTTAAAAAATGACACACCAATTATTTGAATCCTGAGAATCCTGTGAAAGTAGGACATGATTCAAGACACTTTCCAAGGTGGGATCATTCCCATTTTTGGACACAACGGGCATGAAGGATAGCATTTCCACTTGCAATAATTCATTTGGACGTAACTTGTCTAGAAGTGACTGAAAAAACGTCATTTTACAACCATGTTAAAAAAAGCCAAACCACCTTGTACGTACATTCATGCAGTACTGGTACTGTATTATTCGGTGGATCCCTTCTTCGGCAACCTGCACTCTATCTCACCTACAGTAGAGTCGCGTGCTGAAGAACGTGGAGCCCAAGAACGTCCACTGCGGCCTGGAATTCTAAGAACGCCACAGCCTAAAGCTAAGAACGGCGGTGTTAGTTTTCTAGCAGCTTGTGGGATACATATGATCCAGTACGGTTTGTTTCTAAGAACGTGCTATAAGAACGCAGCCAGATTTCTGAAAAATAAGAACGTCCCAGGCTAACCCCTTGGAAACAACGTTCTTGGGCGCTCGACTACTGTACAGTGAAAAGCACATCCATCCCTGATACTCACAAGCAGTAGTTCAATACCCGGTGAAATTAAAATCTCCCAGCTGGACATCCTGACTGACATCGGGGTACATGGATTGACAGAACTCAGAGTCATCGCAGTTACCACCGCACTTGTTCACAGACTGACACTGTGTGTGCACTTGTGTGTGTGTGTGTGTGTTCGCACGTGCGCGCGCACGTGTGTGTGTGTACGTACGTACGTACGCGCGTATGTGCGTGTGTATGCATGCGCACGTGTCTGTGTGTGCACATGTGTATGTGTCGCCCACGTTCTCTAATCGTGTGCTCTGTACATGTACATGGTTCACAATCGTGCCCATGCACTCGGTTATGCTGACTGTGGTGTGTGGCCAGGGATCTTCGCCGGAACTAAGGTGAGATGTCCATTTCATGCCGCGTATGTGTGCAATCTAAAACCTGTACAAAATGAATTTGAGTCCTAGTGGTGGCGGTCAATTTGTCTTCTGATTTTTTTTCCATTTTCCATTCCCTCAACTAATGAATAAAATCGGAAGAACTGTAAACTGCCCAATATCCGTGTCACTAAATTTTCGTGATTTCCCAGAAGTAGTGGTAGTAGTAGTATTAATTTTATTACCGTATTTTTCTCTAATAAAAGCCCAGGTCTCCAATAATAGGCCAGTCTCCAATAATGACCCACCCGGTGTGAGGGCGGTTTGAAATAATAAGAGCACAGTCTCTAATAGTAGCGCGGGTCACAATTGGAGTATGCAACAAGTATATTGACTGCATATAAAACAGCATTACAACATGCCAAGAACATATTTGTAAGGAGGTTGTCAGTCTACTGCTTCCTTCCTGGCGCCAGTGCTATTGTGAAACATCTGTTTTGACAATATTCCTGAGTTTAGGGTTGAAAATTAGTCTTGATATGGTCAGTTTATGCCTGTATAGACTGGAGTTGGCTTGATAGTTGACAATTGAAAAAATAAGAGCCCAGTCTCCAATAATAGCCCAGTCTCTAATAGAAGCGCGGGTAGAGCTGTCACTGAAAAAATAAGAACCCCGGGCTCTTATTAGAGAAAATACGGTATTTAACTAGGGGAGTCCCAACAGGCATGGCCTTGTTACAGGGAATCCTAGGTGAATTTCGTGAGTTGAGCAAAAGTACCAGCAGATTGTGCCTGACGACAGTTTGGAGGAAGAGCGTTCCACCGACCTGCCGCCAGAAAAGAAACTGAGCGCAGTCCATACCCAATATGTACAGTAGGTAATATACCTAATAGAACCAGCCACTTTGCGATGGTAAATGTTCGACCGAGCACTGTTAGTGTTACCACACATATACATCCACTGTTGAAGTTTAATTTCACGATGGTTAATATTCGCGATGTGCTCTTCTCGCAAATTAAGCAAACATTAAAATACGCCGCAAACGTTAGGCAGTTTTCGGTATAGTGATGTAATAGTCCAGGGCGCCAGCTTTGAACTACCACAGAGAACTCGCCCTCTCTGCTGCGCAACTCCAGCAAAAGAGTTCAGAATGACACCCGAGAGTGCACTGCAGCGCTTGCCTTTCACTTCGAGTCTGCATGTTCCGTTGTGCTTCATGAGACTTCCCGGGCCGTTCATTCACTTTTTCTTTGCACTGTATCCTGCCCAGGATCCGGAATGTACACCGGCAGGATTGCTGAAGCGTAAGTTACTAAGTTTGCTAACCTAACCCCGACAGCCACAGTCCCAGTGCTTTCTGCATATAGTACATCATGTACATAACTATACAGTCAGACCTTGCTTAACCGCACACATTCGTTTGCCACAAAAATATCCGGATAGGCGAGGGAAGCGGACAATCGAGCACACATACTGTATGTATGCATGACATAATGATGTAAATCGGTTCCCATCGATTTTCTTCCGGACGGCGAGGGATCCGGATAAAAGAGGACCGGCTAAGCGAGGTCCGACTGTATACTAGTATGCAGTACTGCTCGATGAAATCCAGTCGAGTTTCTCAAATACGCGTCGTCATCTGTAGTCTGTAAAATGCTCTCACTCACCTTCGTTTGTTTGTGTGCGTGTGACCTGCTCCTGTTTGTCGTGCAGTCGAGGACATCCTGTTCGTTGTGCAGTCTCAAGCGCAGCCCTACCACCTGTCCCGTGCCAATGCGGCACGGCCGACGTGGCGTGCCGTGCTGGCCAGGGAGAAGATACACGCGCCGTTCAAGGCCATCTTCACGCACGAGCACGAGGATATGGCCAAGGCGTGGGCTGTGTTCCCTCTGATAGCGGCGTAAGTTCGCTTTGGCCGTGACGCGATCGGAGTGTAGTGAAACGCGGATGAGTGTAGTGAAACGCGGATGAATGTCCATGCCAGTAGGGCAGTCAGAGCAACAGCCCTGTTTGTTGTCATTGCTCGTCTCAAGTAGCTATACACCAAAGCAGTGTGTTGTCATTTTTGCCTTGCACCTTGCGACTGACGTATGGTTTGTGTGTGTGTGTGTGTGTGTGTGTGTGCGTGCGCGCGTGTGTGTGTGTGTGCGTGTGTATGTGTGTGTGTGTGTGTGTGTGTGTGTGTGTGTGTGTGTGTGTGTGCGTGTGCATGTGTGTGTGTGTGTGTGTGTGTGTGTGTGTGTGTGTGTGTGTGTGTGTGTGTGTGTGTGTGTGCGCATGCGCGCGCGTATGAAATGGCGTGCATGTGTTCTTGCCAACATGTACACACACGAAACAACAGCCTTGCTCATCGGCCGGAAGCATCCTCGGTCAAGTGGATCCTGGTCGTGGAAGACAGCACAGAGATTGTCTCCTTTTCCGCACTCCTGAAGAAACTCATGGGTTATGATGAGTGCAAGGTATGTGATGCTATCGTCAGTGCAGTGTAAGTGTCAGTGTCAGTGGACATCTCTCCATGAGCAGTGGAACATAGCACAGTCGGATCACGCAACACCACACACATCCACTTTCCACAAGAATATCCGGTTGGGCGACGGAACCGGATAGTCGAACACACATACTGTATGTAGACATGGCATATGCTGTAAGTCGGTAGCCAACGATTTTCTTCCGGATGGCGAGGGATCCGGATAAAAGAGGACCGGATAAGCGAGGTCTGACTGTACTGTAAACCTGTGTAGGGCGACCGCTCAAGGGACTTTCGAAATGTGGTCACTTTGTACAGGTGCTGGTGGTCTTATCCAGAGTCTTTTGACTGGGGGTAGCATCCCTTGGTCCTGGTTGTAGTGGTCCCCTGGGTAAGGTTTTGCTGTACCGTATTTCCCCGAATGTAAGTCGCACCTTTTTACACAATACGTCAAAAACAAAGAAGGGGCGGGGGGGGGGTGCGACTTACAATCGAGTGTGACTTCCTACTGGTGTGAATGTATTGATACAATTTGGTTCAGACCTAAAAATAGGGTGCGACTTATAGTCAAGTGCGCCTTATAATTGGGGAAATACGGTGCTCTTCTTGTTCTAGTCTACTCTGGCCGAAAAAAAGTTTTAAAAAACTACCTCACCCAAGCACAGAGCACGAGTCTTTATCTACAGGTACAGTAGAACATACTGTGGGATATCAACGTGTAAAGTACTGTTGCAGGTCCCTGAATTGGCAGAGGATACACCCAGCATGCTGGGAGAGCTACACACTGCTGAGAGAGCTACACACTGCTGAGAGAGCTACACACTGCTGAGAGAGCTACACACCGCTGAGAGAGCTACACACCGCTGAGAGAGCTACACACTGCTAAGAGAGCTACACACTGCTGAGAGAGCTACACACTGCTGAGAGAGCTACACACTGCTGAGATGATACGCTTGAAATTGAGGAGCAGAAAAAAGGGCAGCGACATGTAAGTCAGGTAATTCTTACATACCGTATTTCCGCAAATACAACGCCTTCCTAGAATACAAGGCCGGGACAGGGGGCGATTGAAAAAATACAAGACCCGTCTCCGATTAGAAGACCGGGTCTACTAAATGAATAATGTTAAAAATAGAAGCCCGTGCTCAAACTGTGTAGAAGAAGATGGAAGAACGGGGGTAAAACTGTGTAGCGAAAAATAGAAGACCGGGGTCAAACTGGGTTGAAAGAATAAAAGACCGTCCTCGAATACAAGACCGTCCTCAATTATAAGGCCGGGTTAGGACGAGTTAAAAAAATAGTAGACCGGCCTACTATTTGCGGAAATACGGTATCTCAGTTGCTCTCTTTTCTGCTACACAATTTCAATAGTACAGTTTGTATCGGCTATAGCGTACCCTTTTGATTTCCGTGATTTTATCACTATAACCGATGCATCACTATAATTATGCGATACGATCAATTTTTTTCTTTTTCGATCGACACATGAAAGGCAAGCTTCCAGCATGGCGTTTTGACAAATGAGCATGCTGCATAGTTGACAGTGCCCGCATTTCCATAAAAAAATTCTGTTATGTACATGTACATGTATCACTATAAAATAAGCAATGTGAAGAAAGTAAAAAATAGGGCCTTTGATATTATTGCTACATGTATTTTTTTAAAGTTATCACTAAAGCCGATAATGATATAGTGTGTTATGCATGTTTGATTCTTTGTTGCCATCATAATATCCGATATATCATTACATCCGATAATATTGGTTATAGTGATATTTGTTACTGGATAAAATACGTTTTGCTTTTGATATTTCGTGCCAATATCACTGTACCCGATATATTCTTATATCCGGTCACTCTATAGCCGATACAGACTGTATATCGTATCATTGAGCTTGTTGTTTTCTGCCTGCTCTCTCTCTCTCTCTCTCTCTCTCTCTCTCTCTCTCTCTCTCTCTCTCTCTCTCTCTCTCTCTCTCTCTCTCTCTCTCTCTCTCTCTCTCTCTCTCTCTCTCTTAGCCTGAGTTTCTGGGACGTGGGCTGCGTGACCGGGAGGCGGCCATTATACATCACTACGCGTTTGCCAACAACCCGACAGAGTTTGTCTACCCGGACTTTGCAGCCGGATGGCTGATATCCACACCGATGCTGCGCATGTGAGTTCTGTTCCGGTTGTCAAGCAGCCCCTTCAAGCCTTGAAGCTGTGTTACCCAACTTGGCACATCCACCCAGCATGCGGTGTGCGGTGCAGTTCAGTTCTCGAGCAGATGGTCGGTTTACAGCTCCCTTATCACTGGACATTTCTGTCCGCTTGGTTTGCAAATTCGAATAAAGAAAGCTGCAACAACAACACCACTGCAGCACTGCTCCTGCTGATGTTCGCATGCCGCAGTGGTCACAGGGGACCCTCTAGACCCCCTAGGGCCAGCAATAAATTTATGAGATTAGCTTATTCTCTCATTCTGTCATTCTTCCACTCTTTCTCTTTCTGCTAGGATGTCAGAGAGACTGGAGAGCAAACGAATCAATGCTGGTTTCACCATTGATCCGCAGCATGAGGTAAGGGTTTTCTGTCAGTAGCCGAAGGCATGGATAATTGGAATTTTACTTGATTGTTTCTCAACTTTCCAGATTTTCTTCTACTCCATTGTCACGACATTCTCATTCAAGAAACATTTCAGCCCGTACTGCTCATGCCTGCATACTCTGCTACACCGTAACTTGCAAACCAAAATTTCAGCCGCAAGAAGATCAGGCCTCAAAAGTCCAGGCTGAACATAGAAATAATATGTGCCGACTACCATATTTTTACAGTGCATCTACTTCTACTCTACAGTCAGTTAAGAGGGATACGGAGACGCTTTTCTTTCTCGTCACATGCGGATCCCTGCTCTTCCCGGTACTCTGTTCTCGTGTAGCTCGCTAAATACATCTATGACGAGTTTGACAAGCAGGCCATGACATCGGTAAACTGGCTGTGTGCAGGACTGACTGCTGACGAGGCACGGCAGAACGGCTGTGTCACTAACTTCAACAAGGACATCGAAGAATGTGTGAGTTTGCTATCCGTCTAGGACTGCTCGAAACATTGCTTTGGACTTCTCGTTGCTGCATATTTTTTCTGCTGCCAATGATTTTGTCTCGCTTCACTAAGATTCATAGCTTTCATATACTTTGTCCTTTTTCCAGGTGGGCTGTTTATGTGGGCACTGGTTGGGCCGTCTGTGCATGCACTAATGAAACAGTGTGTTGGTATGTTGGCGGTGCACTGTGTACTTTTGCAGGCAAAGACACCTGTCACCGTCCAGGATGTTTTCTTTGGTGTCAAGACGACACAGAAATTCCATGAAGATAGACGTAAGTAAAACCTTTTTCGTGAGTACAGTATTGCGCAATTCTGGGCCTTGTTTCATCTTGGAAAACAACTGCCCCAGTCTTTGCATGCTTCTTCAGACTGTTCGTGTGCATGCATACCACTGCGCACGCATGTGCTTGCGCATGTGAGGCTGTGCAAATTCCTGCCGGCAACTGAAACAGGAGAGGGTGTTTGCTCCCCACACCAGACCTCGCTCTTTCCCACCAACTTGACTTCACACTTCTGGGTCACGACTTTCCTGTGAAATCATCGCCGAAGTCGCTACCACTATCTCGTGATCATTCAAATACTGTAAGACCAGATATTTTAACGTCAATTTAAAATGTTAACGATCTCCGGATTTTTGTGGGTTAACGAGGTGAAATTCTAACGAATTCTGTCTCAAAGCCGGCAACTGACTGTACATGTACATATCGCTTTGCACGTAACGACTTCAAATGTTAGCGATTTTCTTAAATTCGTTAAATCGTTAGGATTAAACGTTCGTTAACATTACTGGTCGTACAGTACGTTTTGTAGAATGTGTGCATGCTCGCTGTCTGCTCACTTCTCCCGTTTCTCAGTCCCAGTCTTGCTGAACACCTGGGGTAAGGCGCTGATCAACAATGGCCACATGGTGCTCTATAGCAACGTGACGGACAAGAGCATACCCACCGTCGACTGCGGCGTGCCCAACACCGAGCGAGGACACTGCGGAAAGCTCTATGCCATCATGCGCTCGGCTGCAGAGCGCATGGCCAAGAGCAAGGAATCATGGCTGGTCGTGACGGACGATGACACGCTCATGAGGTACGCTCACGTCTGGGGTTTTTTGTGTTTTTTTTGGTTATATGGCTCAGTCATAGTTGACTCATGTGGTGATTAACCCTTTATGTACTGAAAAATTGTACACAGACTGAATTTGATCTCGACTTTCGAGCTTCGTAACTCTGGAACCACACATCGGAGCGCTTCAGCGATTGTTTTAATGGACAGCTGGGAGTTTTCTCTTTGACTTACATATTTTAGTTTTTGGATATAACCCAGAAATGACTGAGTTACGATCGATTGAAAATTTGAAAAGTTTCGATCCCAGGGGATCGAAAGTTGTACAGTCCGTACACAAAGGGTTAAGACATAGCGGGCTGGCACGTAAGGTAGTGTGGGTTGGTCATGGCTGAATATCTTAACCATCACTGGTTATGCTATGTGTGTGCCAACTCCGGTACACAGTCCTACTCTTATTTCCCCTACATTGCTCTGCCTCTCACACCGCACTGCACCCCATTCCTACGTAAGCACGTGTGATTGTCACACCGACCCTCACATTCGCACTATTTTACTCAGACTTACACTAGCACTTACGCTGTGTAGTTACTCCCGTTGTGCTAGCTGGCTGGCTGATGTGAGCTGGCCTGGGATGAGCTGGCTGGTGCAAGCTAGCTGCTGTGATTTGGCGGATGTGACTCTATGAGCTAGCTGTTGCGAGGTGGCTGGTACATGGTGCGAGGTGGCTGGTGGCTGGTGCGAGGTGGCTGGTGCGAGGTGGCTGGTGCGAGGTGGCTGGTGCGAGGTGGCTGGTGCGAGGTGGCAGGTGCGAGGTGGCTGGTGCGAGGTGGCTGGTGCGAGGTGGCTGGTGTTACGTTTTCTTACTCTTAGTACTCCCTTGTGCCATTGTTCCAGCAGATGCTGCAGGTGTCGCTGACCTGCACAGTTTGTACGAGTACTTGTAGATTTATGCAGTGCGTGTCTACAGCTGTATTTGAATGTGTGCGTAGTGCACAGTTGCAGTTGTGCCCTAGGCCCTGTGTCTGTGATACGTGATTTGTGGTGCGTGTTAGCTTACACGTGGGAATGCTACGCGCTTTCATGTGACCTGCGTTACTTCCTTCTCACTGTACTTCCTTTTATGCATGTATCGCTGGCATATGCGACACGGGCCGGCCGGGCCGGAGTGTGTATTGGTTTTGGAAGCAGGTGCCTTTTGTTCTGTGAGTTGTTCGCATGCACATGTTGCTGGCCGCGTGGTAATGTTTTGGTTCTTGTTGTGTTGGACCTGAGCTCTAGATTCTACAAGTTTGTAGCTGTTGTGATTTTACTATGTTCCATGGGTCTGAATAATTGTGTTCTCCGGAGTGGAGTAAAACTGAACTGTGATTCGATTGTGTGCGGAAACCCGGTGTTGACGAAAGTGTGTTGACCTGGGCGCTGAGGAAAAGTAACATAAACTGGCACCTCCGACGGGATCCTTTTGCCTTTCCGTGGTTGCTGAGAGTCGTCGCCATGAGTGAGGAGCGGCGTATCAGCCACAGATCGACGAAAGGAAAGGAACCCAGGCGATATGGATTTTCTGGAAGTGAGCGCTCGAGTACTCATGCCAGTCCTGGGAGCACTGAACTCGTAGAATTGGAGAGAGCTCGAGTGGCCAGAAAAAGGGCAGAGGCCGAAGTGCGAGTGGCAGAAGAGATTGCTGCACTGCAGGAACAAGTTCTGCAGAGTAAGTTAGCTGTCCTGCAGAAACGGCAAGCCTTGGAGCAAGCTCGTTCCGAAGAAGAATCTGCACACGAGTCGGCGGCAGGAGCTAGCCCGTCGCCTCGTAGAGAAATTGCTTCGGACGGGGACGTGGTCTTCCAACGAAGTCGTGACGGCGCAAGTGCGACTCTGCGATCTTGTATGCCACCACGAGCGGAGTCGGACAGTGCAGTTACCGGTAGTAGGTTTACGACTGATCCTCCGTTACCACTCGCGCGCCCCAGTGTTGAAAATGTGAATACACCGGTAGCAGGAACAGCAGCTGCTCAGCTATCGCAGAATGTCCCGGACGTCGTTGACGGTGTGTCTGAAGAGTCAGACCACTATGTGTCATCCAGTAGCGCCTCAAGTAGTGACACTGCTGGTGACTCTACAACTACTGGAACTACAACTAACGCCAGTAGTGGTGAAAGTGATAACAGCCACACTGATAGTAGTACTGTTAGTCACTATGGGCCTGCTTCCAGGCGTGTTGGTACACGTGCTCTGGCCAACGCAGGAGTTGCGTCCAGAGGCGGAGCTGCCTGCACTACCCAGCCAGTACATAGCAGCCGCAGCAACTCCAAAAAAGAGCAAGCTGCCTCAGAGCAAAGACAGCATGCAGACAACAGCCATGCCTGTGGTAAGTGCGAGGGTGCACACCATATTGCAGATTGTGGCGAATTCAAGAGTCTGCCCGTGCAAAAGAGAAATGACACGATCCGGAACCTACGGCTATGCGTCAACTGCCTGGGAGATGGGCACTGGGCACGAGACTGCATGGCAGCGGTGTGCCGAGAGTGTCAAGGCAAGCATCATCATTTACTGCACCGTGAACGACAAGGCAGTTTTACACCATCACCACCAACGCGAAAAGAGGCTAGCCACCATGTGAACAGCGAATCCCTGCCAGCCAATGACGACGAGGCTGGCTTGACCTCATTCATGACGATACCGGTGAGGGTTGCAAATGGAACAGTGACTGCCACAGCCAACGTCCTTCTTGACTCTGGATCAACATGCAGCTTTGTCACAGAGAGGCTTGCACACCGACTACGGCTGCGAGGAGAGCGCAAGCCAGTGCATGTTGGTGTGCTAGGCGGTCAAGTTCTCTCAGGCGAGCGAGAGGTGGTGTCTCTGTCCCTTCATCAATATGACAGCCAGGAGATATCAGAAGTTGAGGCATATGTGCTGCCAAAGATCACAAGCGACGTGCACGTTGCTGATTGGAGCCGTCTGCGTCACCAGTGGCCACATCTAGCAGACATTGATTTCCCTGCTGCAAGCAATCAATGCGCCATCGACATCCTAATCGGGCTAAATTCAGCAGCACTGCACAGTGCACAGGAAGAACGGATTGGCAAGGCAGGTGAGCCCATTGCAAGGCGCACGCCCTTGGGATGGGTCTGTTTCGGTTCAGCCATACAAGACAGCTCTGTCCAGCACACCCATCATGCCCTGGAACTAACACAGACAGGTCTCGACTCGCTTGTCCGTAACTTCTGGGACTTGGAAGCGGTCGGCATGCAACCGTCTGCTGAGAGCTACCTGTCACCTGACGAACGCCATGCTGAGGAAATGACTCGACAGCAGCTAGGGTACGCAGATGGTCGATTCGTTGTCGGTATTCCCTGGCAGAATGGAGCGCGTCCTCAGATCACGAGCAACCGAGTGCAGGCGGAGGATCGGCTGCGTTCGCTACTGAGGTCTCTAGAGAGAAGACCAACCGTTCAGATTCGCTATGCAAAGGTGCTAGAGGAGTACCTACAGAAGGCGTACATTCAGGAGCTGACATCTGATCAAGTCCAGCAATGTGGCCGTGAGCAATGGTTTCTGCCGCACTTCGCAGTAGTCCGCGAAGACAAAGCTACAACTAAGGTCCGTGTTGTGTTTGATGCTGCAGCTCGCTTCAACGGCACGTCCATCAATGAACACATGTACGCTGGGCCGCGACTGCAGAATGACCTCGTCACAGTACTGATCCGGTTCTGCATGCACCCCGTGGCACTGATTGCTGATGTGTCGGAGATGTTCCTTCAGGTATCACTACAGCCTGAGGATCGCAGATATCACCGATTTCTTTGGAAGACCGGGGACGGAGTCAAGGCCTATGAGTTCACCAGGTTGGCGTTTGGCATCCGTGCATCGCCATACCTTGCAGGCAGAGCTTTGCTGGAGACGGCCGAGCGTTTCGGAGCGAACTACGACCCAGCAGTCAGTGACACAGTTCGCAAGGCATTCTACGTCGACGACATGTTGAAGTCCTTGCCTGACGACCAGAAAGCAATGCGTCTTCGGTCTCAGCTACAAGACCTCCTGAAGAAAGGCGGCTTCCATCTCCGGAAGTGGTTGAGCAACAGTGAAGCAGTGATGGAATCAATTCCACCGGAGCACCGCGCGCCGGCCACGTCTAAGTCCATAACGGCACAAGAGTCGTGTGGACAGCCCTCACAAAAGGCACTGGGCGTAACGTGGATGGTCAGCGAAGATTATTTCACGTTTCACTATCAGGAACCCACATCCGCTGCGTGCACGAAGCGCACCGTCCTCAGTCGCATGGCATCACTGTTTGACCCCAGAGGGCAACTAGCATCATTCACCATCAGGAGCAAGTTGTTGTTCCAGGAACTATGTCTTGCGGGGCTCGGCTGGGACGACCCACTGCCTGAAGAGACGGCGGTAGCTTGGCAAGAATGGTTTGCTGAGATGCCTAAGCTAACACAGCTACGCATTGATCGCTGTTTTCAAGATAGCACAACGTCGATGGGTCTGAGTGTGCACACGTTCACCGACGCATCAGAACGGGCCTACGCCGCTGCGTCATACGTCCGAGCAGAGCGACCAGATGGTACAGCGAAGGTTACCCTGGTGATAGCCAAGGCAAGACCAGCACCGATCAAGCGTCGATCCATTCCGATGCTAGAGCTGCAGGGAGCGGTCCTGGGTGTGCGTCTTGGGACGTACGTTAGCGAAGCTCTCGGTGTGAGAGCAACCGACAGCCACTACTGGAGCGATTCCATGAATGTCCAGTATTGGATTCGATCACCCAGCCGAAAGTTCAAGCTGGAAGTCGGCAACCGGATATCGGAGATCCAACAGCAGTCTATGGCACGGAACTGGCGTCATGTTCCCGGAGTCAGAAATCCAGCTGATCTCCCCACCCGTGGGATGACAGTCACACAGCTGGCAGAGGAGAGCAGGTGGTGGCATGGACCAACGTTTCTGGCACAGCAACAGAGCGAATGGCCAGATCGCAGGATAGCTGTGCCGAAGGAGCTACCACAAATGCTCAAGACTCCTGAAATCACGATGACGGCAATGATGTCACCACCGTTGCGGCTAAGTCCAAACAACTATTCCTCGTGGAGCCGTCTTGTGCGGGTCACGGCTTGGTGCATGCGTGCCATACACAATCGCCGCAAGAGCCGACTGCCACAGCTAACGCTCAGCGACGCCCGTGTGAAGATTGCAATCAAGAACAGCAAGGAGGTTGCCGTGCCCGAGCTCTCACCAGCTGAGTTTGAAAGAGCGGAGCACTATTGGATCATGCGTGCGCAAGATGAGAGCTATGGTGAAGTGACGAGCACGCTGAGAAAAGGGAAGGAGTTGCCAAGCAGCGCCCCTTTTCTCAAGTTGCAACCGCGCATCGACGAACAGAGTGGATACCCCGTATTAAGAGTTAGTGGGAGACTGCGTACGGCTTACCACTTGGCATCTGAGTTTCGATCGCCAATTATTCTACCACCTCGACACCGAGTGACAGAGCTGATCATTCGGAGAGAGGATGAGCGATGCCGACACAGCATTGGCACGAATCACATCCTGTCCAATCTCGCCGATCACTACTGGCTTGTGAAGGGCAAGCAAATGGTGAAGTCACATCGGCACCACTGCGTGGGATGTCAGAAGGTGTGGCGCAAACCAGCCACTCCCAGGATGGGTCCTCTCCCAGACCTCCGCACGCAAGGACCACTTCTGGCATTCGCCCGCACCGCTGTGGACTTCGCCGGACCGTTTCTAGTGAAGAGAGGTCGAGGACGTACACAAGAGAAGAGGTATGTGGCAGTGTTCACGTGTCTGCAATCTCGAGCGTGTCACTTGGAGCTGGTTACCTCTCTCGACACGACTGGCTTCAAGATGGCCCTGACGCGATTCTGCAAGCGTCGCGGCACACCCGAGATGTTGCTTACTGATAATGGAAGCAATTTTGTTGCGACAGAGCGAGAGCTGAGGGAGGCAGTCGCCCAGCTTGACCATGCCGACCTCACATCGGAGTATGCAGGCCAAGGGATTGAGTGGAAATTCAATCCGCCTCGTTCTCCTCATTTCGGCGGCGTGTTCGAACGGATCGTGCGCTCCATGAAGCAAGTTCTCCAGACTGTGCTGTACAAGGCTGATTTAACTGAAGAAGAGCTCCAGACAGTATTGGTGCAGGCCGAGGCTCTCATCAACTCGCGGCCATTGACAACGCTTTCGGAGGAAAGTGAAGACCTGGAGCCGCTAACGCCTTTGCATTTCTTGGTTGGCCATTCGAGAGTTGCAACAGCGTTGGAAGCAACCCCGGAGGGGGGTCTGCATCGTCGCTGGCAGTTGCTTCAGGATCTGATGAAGCGCATTTGGAAGAGGTGGCTCCGCGAGATTGTTGCTCGAGCCAATTTGGAGACGAAGTGGCACCGTGATAGTGCATCGGTTACAGTCGGCAAAATCCTGATGATGCTGGACGAATCGCTCCCAAGGACTCACTGGCCGCTTGGTCGAGTGGTCGCTACGTATCCTGGAAAGGACGGGAAGGTGCGCGTAGTGGACGTGAAGGTCAAAGGGAAGGTGTACAAGCGCAGCATCCACCGCTTGGTGCCCCTAGATGTGGAACCGTCGGCAGTCAAGGTGACTCTCCCAGCCTCTGCCGAAGTCCGGCTAAGTGATCTCAATGAGTGACATTAACTGGCATGCTCGCCGTTGTTAATGCTGTGTATCAAGTTACGGTTTTGCCCAATAGCGTATAGGCATTAGATTCGCTCAGTTTTCCCACGTTCGCTCATGAGGGAGGGAATGTTACGTTTTCTTACTCTTAGTACTCCCTTGTGCCATTGTTCCAGCAGATGCTGCAGGTGTCGCTGACCTGCACAGTTTGTACGAGTACTTGTAGATTTATGCAGTGCGTGTCTACAGCTGTATTTGAATGTGTGCGTAGTGCACAGTTGCAGTTGTGCCCTAGGCCCTGTGTCTGTGATACGTGATTTGTGGTGCGTGTTAGCTTACACGTGGGAATGCTACGCGCTTTCATGTGACCTGCGTTACTTCCTTCTCACTGTACTTCCTTTTATGCATGTATCGCTGGCATATGCGACACGGGCCGGCCGGGCCGGAGTGTGTATTGGTTTTGGAAGCATGTGCCTTTTGTTCTGTGAGTTGTTCGCATGCACATGTTGCTGGCCGCGTGGTAATGTTTTGGTTCTTGTTGTGTTGGACCTGAGCTCTAGATTCTACAAGTTTGTAGCTGTTGTGATTTTACTATGTTCCATGGGTCTGAATAATTGTGTTCTCCGGAGTGGAGTAAAACTGAACTGTGATTCGATTGTGTGCGGAAACCCGGTGTTGACGAAAGTGTGTTGACCTGGGCGCTGAGGAAAAGTAACAGCTGGTGCGAGGTGGCTGGTGCGAGGTGGCTGGTGCGAGGTGGCTGGTGCGAGGTGGCTGGTGCGAGGTGGCTGTTGCGAGGTGGCTGGTGCGAGGTGGCTGGTGCGAGGTGGCTAGTGTGAGCTAATTGGTTTGGCTTAGATCTCCACACTCCTTGCTCTCACGTGTTACAGTGAAACCTCGTTAGGAAGAACACTGATAAGACAAACTTTCGCTTTAGAAGAACTAGTGTTCATAGCTCTGTTGGATAAATCACTGTCTATTCACTGGGTATACAATACGGATAAGAAGAACTCCCGTTATTACGAACAAATACCATCGGTCCCTTGGTGTTCGTCCTAAAGAGGTTTGACTGTACTTTAGCATGATGCGCTGGTAGTTACCAAGTCTTGGTGGTACTTTCCCCACGCTCCTTATTCTGAGCACCGTTCAATGTCCACACCCTCCAGATTGAAATAAATAGCCGGGCACCTTACTGTTGTGAAGAGACTGGAGGAAAACCCTGCGTTGTGTGCTGGACAAGGCTTTGTTACCGGAGTCCATTGCGTAGTGTCTGTTTTAGTTCTTGGTTCTCCCTTGCCCACTATAGCAATGTGGCTGATGTACAGGTACATTGTGGGATACAAGAGGTGGGTGGGCATGCACGCATCATGGCGGCTTCACTAATCGAGTGTAGCAGTCGATGCAAGCAGTTGTTTCTATTAATTTTGTCGAAAGTTCTCAAAACGCGCTTTCATTCGAAAACTGCACACCGTTTACCAGTACGTCGTTTCCTGCACACTGGACTTCGTTCCCCCTGTGTATGTGTGTCTGCAGCGTTCCGCGACTCCTGACGCTGCTCAGTTGCTATGACGCCAGCACAGCGGTTGCCATCGGTGAAGTGTATGGCTACGGCGTGGATTCCGGCCACGGCTACGCTTATCTAACCGGTGGTGGAGGGTAAGGGATACAACTATAAGACACTCAAATTCTCTCTACAGGCATTTTCAGACGTTGGCCCATAGAGGGTGGTGGCATTCCTATGCAGGGATGAATTTATCCTGTATCGCATCGCAGTTTGCTACGCAAAATCGATCTACTGCTACTCGAAAATCACAGTGACATGCAGAAAACTGCCATACATACATGTACAGGCGATCCATGCTTTTTGTAGCTTGCGCCACAATTGATATTTTGCATAGCAAAAACTGCTATGCAAAAACATGACAGTAAATTCATCCCTGCTACGGATGCAGAAAACTCGGCCTCCGGCTGAGTCACACCCGAATCGTGAATATTTTTCACCGACGTTGTTCCGCTGAAGAATGCCACAAGAAAACGTTCGGGATTCATAACTTACTACGTTGCTTTTGTGTGTGTGTGTGTGTGTGTGTGTGTGTGTGTGTGTGTGTGTGTGTGCGTGCGTGCGTGTGCGTGCGTGTGTGTGTGTGTGTGTGTGTGTGTGTGTGTGTGTGTGCGTGCGTGCGTGCGTGTGTGTTGACAGTACAGCGCAGATAATCATCTTCATAGTATTTAATACTTTAAAATTGTTATCTCCTTGCCACCTATTCAGGCGTTTTCTTTTTAATTTCCACAAAGTCTCAACTATCTGCATGATATCCTGTACCATTCTGGGGTTTTGTGTGCAGATTTGTACTGAATCTTCCCGCCGTGAAACGGCTACTGGATGCATCGGAAACCGGTAGATGTGGCTGCCACGGGGATGATTCGCCGGACGATATGTTCTTGGGCATGTGCCTGGAGGCTCTGAAGATTCCCATTGTGCATCGGCCGGAGTTTCATCAGGTATGTCGGTGTGAGCGTGCATTCGTGAGCGATAAAGTATCGACAACAGCACCCCACCGCTTGGACTCTTTCGGGGTTGTGCTGTGGAGGTGGGCGGATGAGCCTGTCCTTATCCCAGTACTTCAAGTACATTCGGATTGTGGGTACGTGCATGCTTGAGTGCGTGCATGTATGTACAGTCAGCGTGAAACTCTCAGCTGCAACTAACCGTTCCAACTTCTGTGGTCTGCGTTCATGTGTGGATGTATGTCTGTGTGTCACAGTGTGTGCCTGGCTTTGTGTGTAAATGTATGTCTGTGTGCATCTCGCTGAATGTGTAGATGTGTGTTTGTGCGTGTCTCGCTGAATGTGTAGATGTGTGTGTGTGTGCGTGTCTCGCTGAATGTGTAGATGTGTGTTTGTGCGTGTCTCGCTGAATGTGTAGATGTGTGTGTTTGTGCACGCCTTACTGAGGGTGTGAATGTATGTCTGTGTGCACGTTACTGGATGTGTAGACGTGTGTGTGTTTGTGTGTGTCGCTGTATGTGTAGCTAGCCTTGCGTTTTGACTTTGCAGAGGATTCGTATGCCCATTTTGAGTGCAATACTATTGAATTCCCTGTACAATATGTTCTTTCTCCCACAACAGTTCTCTTCATTGTCCTGCGCTGTCCTGTTTCCTTTCAGGCTCGGCCCGGAGAGTACGCCGCTGGTTATTTGCAGCGGCAAACTCCTGTGTCGTTTCACCGTCATTCGTTCCACGACCCCTACGACGCTTTCAACGACTACCTGGGCGGAAATGTCAACACTGACTGGCTAGCCCCGCTGCGGCAGCCGGCTGAAGATGAGTCCATGGAAGCAGAGGTCCCAGAGCAAGATGCCGAGTTGGTTCGTGAGGAAGAACGGGATGCCAGAGACGACGGTGATATTGCGGAGGTCGGGACGGTGGAAACGTCCCAACGTCCATTGAACGATGAGCTTTGAATCACCCGTGGTGCTGCTGCAGTGCCGTGTAGACACTTCACAGGAGGACCAGTGTCTGCTGCGGCATGCAGGTGACATTTTGCAGAAGGACAATGGTGAATGGACCCATGAGCCGAGCTGTGCGCATGGATGAGAGTAAGGGGGTTGTTTTATGCCGGCGAGACATGGCACATCGCCTTCATTTTAGATTTGATATGACTTCAACAGGCCGTTGAGATGTGACTGCTTGGCTTGGCGCAGGCATGTCACTTTCTGCTTTGTAGCTCTGTCTTATCTCCCATTGCACATGAACTAACAATGCTTGGCATGCCCAGTCAGCTATGCCCAAACTACCGCGAATGCAGCGCCGTAGCCTATAAGTTAGGCTAGGCTACTGGAATACATGTCTTTAGATTGCTGGACTTTCTGGGGGCATGTTTAAACGCGCTCTAACACGTAGTGTATGGCTAGGCTCACTTTGGGAGCAGCCGGCTCTCGCTTCGCGACATTGCGCCCGCCTGTGTGATGCATTCAAGCCTAAAATAGCAGTGTACGGATCTTATGAAGTCTTTGCATTCAAGCCTAGAATAGCAGTGTACGGATCCTATGAAGTCTTTAGTAATACTCTTAGCTATCTTGGCCACCGGAAGCAATTTCTGATTGGTCCGGTTATACCATAGCCTTTCATATTATTTTGTGTATGATAATATTTTAAAGCAGGTATACTTAACCTCGGCAGTAAGCAAGCCTTGCTGCTGGCGAGCAAGTTGGTCCCGTGATGACCTGACCTGACCTGACCGACCGGACCGGTTCCGGCGGGCCGGGCTGTCTACACAGCCGAGACGTAGTTAGCATGTGTGCATTTACTACACTGCATTGAAGCAGTGAATGGGATTTTCGGTCCAGTTTGACCACTTTCTGGTGAGCTGATCTACTCTCCTCCCACCGCTTTAGGAGCTGCATCTGCGCCTTGATCCTTGAAGGGTGGTGGCGTTCCTACGGATGCGGAAAACTCGGTTTCCAGCCGAGTCTCACGCGAACCGTGAACTTTTTAATTGAAGCATTGCTACCATACTGATATTCCCAAGTACCCACCACGCGAGAAACACTAGTTGTTTTACTTGAACATTGTTTGGGATAAAAAATAATAAGGTCAGGTGGCGGTGGTGGTAAGTGGCAATTGCCATCAGAGTACAGCCCCGGGCCATTATGCACCGGATGAGCAAGGCAATCAAGATAATCGTCAGCATGGCTTTCTCTCGTCTTTTGAAGAGCATAAAATTAGGATTCAATGCGATAATGATGCAGTGTAAGAAGCCGTGTGCAACCAAAAAGAAGAACCGGCAGCGTACGCAGGCAGGCGTAAAAAGGGCTCCATGTCAACAATATAATAATCTTTAGCAGCATTACATGTACAGGTAGAGGTGCTCGCAAACTGCGGGTTAAAATAATAGGGCGGGAACGAAGATAAAGCATTGAAATATAGTTCAGAAGGGGCATTGTGGAAATTCAGGAGGGAGGGGGGGGGGGGGTAAATACCTCGATCCATGTGGGGGGTAAGTACCTCCATGTGTTTGATGAGCGGTTACGGTTATTATGGTGATCAAGGTGATTGAATAGGAGTTTGAAGGCAAATTGAAAATTGTAGTTTAGAAATGGCGTAAACCCTCATGACAGCCGTCATGCCTCAATGAATAATACACATAGTTGGCATAGCAAACATAGTAGGTGCATGACGATTGACGAATTACCATGCAGCAGCGGGATTCAAATGTAGTGCCCTAAGTGGGATAAAACATCGTAACGAACTTACCGAAGGAGAGCTTCACTCCACATTGCAATGAATGACTTCCAACTGTATGCGTATACTGCTCTGTACAGTTGTGCTTTGAGCTGCCTCGACCGGCCTTGTTTATGACTTCCAACTATGTACAACATATCAGTTTTCGGCAGGCTTAGTTACTCGTCGCCACTGGCACCACGATTCACTCCTTTGTGGAGCGGCACACTGCTAGCAATCCATGCTGAATTGCTGTGAAGAGTTCAAGTCGATCAGTCATCATTGTCTCGTCTGCTACCCGAGTACATAGTGGCTAATGCTGGCGAGGCTCGACGCGTAGCGACTGCTCAAACAGCGCCTCTTCATTGGGAATGTGCGACGTGTTCATCAAGTACTTCAGCACCTAGTTGGAGAGGCAGACACAGACGGACAGACAGGCGGACAGACAGACAGACAGACAGTCAGACCGACAGAGGAGATAAGCATCGGAGTGAGAGAATAATCAGAGGCTAGCAGATTTTTTAAGATCAGGCAAATTTCATGTAGCAATTTGTAAGAAAGCCTTGCACGTGCCACAGGAGCAGCATAGCCGGTCCACCATTTTGGGGGGGGGAGGGGAGGTGGTGTGCTTGGTAAGCAGCTCGTACATGTACACAACAGCAGGATGTCTGTTACTGGACAGATTATATGTAACGTTACAACAATCACGACGGGGCTTTGGACGCTGGCACTCGATGCTGCCTCCACAGCAGGCATTGAACTACGATCTCTGGGCCTATTAGCCTCTGCAACATGCACACATTATACTGAACAAATATCAAAAGATTGTGTGGGGGGGGGCATGATTGTTCACTGTTACCTGACTGACTAAATACACACATCCGTGTCAGCAAGGGCAGACACCACACCCACCATGTCATCCATGAATCCACCACATTTCTCAAAATGTCTATACCAAAACAATAGAAGAAAATCGGAGCACTTGTAGTGCACTGGGGCGCGGGGTACCTTTTCATCAGGCGTGACTTCGTATGGCTCTTTCTGGTACTGCTGGATCTGCTTCAGAATGGCGTATGTCTGCAAGTACATGTACATATGGATCGTAGAACATGTCAAGCAAACCAACACACCAATATGCATACTCAGCTGCACATACTAGTAACTCGTTTTTCCGTTTGGTCCTGGACCGGACACTGCCCGTAAGTTACTTTGAAATGTCCGCAACTCCGAATCACATACACTTTGGTGGGGAAAGGCCATAGATATGGCACAATTATGACGTCACTACGTCCACAAAAGTGACAAAAGAGTAGTGATATTTCCACTGAAACTCGCCCAAAGGGTGCCCGGTGGACCGAAGTGCCCGTGAGTTCAGGGTCCGGATAGCCGCAAGAGGTATGAGTGTAGTTAGTTCCTAAACAAACAGGTGTTATGCCATACTCAATGAATACACAATGATGAAACCCATGGCATATGCAATATGTGCACTGACCTAGGAGTATACGGATGTACACGCACCCTCGCACGCACGCACGCACACACATAATATGCAATAAGTCCGCCGTACTGGGCCAGAACTACGTGTCGTAATCTAAAGCTTGCATATGACACACTGCTTCCCGAATACATTACTCGAGGCAGCAGTACTCAACCGTCAGTGTCTTGGAAAGGAATTCAGCTTCTCTGTATATAGCTGTTGCACATCTACATTCGAACCAGAGAAACCCGACCCGCAAGTCAACAGTAGCGCCGCGTTTCCACTTCAATTACACTATGCACGTTCCAGGAGGGCTGCAGGGTCGCATGAGCCTTATCGCTGCTTTCGGCATGTGGGTCAGATTTCTTTGGACACGAGAATAACGTAATACATGACCATACTAGACAGCTATGTTGGCTCCAACTCAAGTCAACCCTTGCATCGGTATGGGTCACAAGACGTCGGCCATGTTGGCTCCAACTCAAGTCAACCCTTGCATCTATGGGTCACATGACGTCGGCCATGCTGGTTCCAACTCAAGTCAACCCTTGCATCTATGGGTCACATGACGTCGGCCATGCTGGTTCCAATTCAAGTCAACCCTTGCATCAGTATGGGTCGCATGACGTCGGCCATGCTGGTTCCACTGCCAACTTGCCATGATCACGTTCTACTCAGTCTACAGAGGTTTAGTCACATGACAGAGATGTGAAACTTGAGACACTGCTGCCGCTTGAAGCCTCGCTTACCCTCTTCATCTTGGGAAAGTTCACTTTTCCGTCCTTGTCCTTCGTCTTCGTCTCGTTGATGTATATCAGCTCCTTCTGGTAGCATCCCATATATGGCAGGGCTGGAAATGTTGCTCTAGTCACACAAGTTGAGCAGCAGAACAGGGAAGAAAAATGGTTTGATGGTAGGCACGGGTATGATTGAGAAGTGATAACAGATAATAGGCTGTAGTTAGTTCGGCCGGTCAGGCTATGGCCGGACCTTATAAATTTTTCAAAACTTTGCCCAAACCAAGGTGTGTATTCACCGCCATATTGCCAGGTGTGTGTGTTTACCACCATACTAATCAACCATAAGTACAGCTGCCGTGGAGCCTTCAACTTCATTGCTCAAACCAATTCGTGCAAAATTTGGTTTCGTCATTAAAGTTCACATCCGGTGCGTGTCCTATGCATATGGCTGGGCCATGCACCTGAAATCCCTCTGCTACGGCCCTGGATAGCCGGAAGGCAGAAGCCCAAAAACAGAAACAGAAACGAAAACGGAAGGAGAACAAGATGGACAACAGAAGGCAGATGGAACCAAAGTTGACAGAGAAGCATGCAGCAGCCATGGATTTTTCTTCTCGACTTGCTCAGTGCTATCATCCATTCTACCCCGCCTATACACCTGCATGTGTTTGTTACCGTGTACGATATTCAGGGTGTGTTCTTACTCGTGGAGACGGTCACGCATGGCACGGAAGTTCTGAGTTGGGTCTCCGACCTCCTTCAGTACTTCATAAACCTCCATCTTCTGCAATCAGTGCACAGGCACCATACAAGCAAGCACACATGCACGCATGCATATGTACACACACACACACACACACACACACACACACACACACACACACACACACACACACACACACACACACACACACACACACACACACATACACACACACACACACACATGCACGCACGCACGCACACACGGAAACAACACAATAGCATTATGACTTTGTTACATGGGTACGCTTACACTGACAGATCTAAAAGAAAGCCGTGCATCGGAGTTGAAGTCCTGCAGAAAATGGAAAACTGCATAAGCGAAAACTGGAACCAACCCGCTACACATGCTCCTCGGCTTGATACCGGTATATGCACTGGCCAAACGTTTGCTGTTTGAATCCCAGTACATCATCCAGACAATCATTTTAATGATTGTAAAAGTTGCAGTCAGCATGAAGAGATCACAAAGTCTATCGAGCAGCTCATCTTGTGGAGACTAGGAGGAAAGAGACACTGCAGGGCAACAGCCGGTCACTCTATTATGACTGTGGCAGTGCGGGTTTTCGGCACTACGACAGCTGTGCATAGCGCTGATGCTCATACCTCTTGCCGTGAAGGCAGCACGCTATGGGTTTTCATAGCACATGTGACAGCAAATGAAGGATCAAGTGCCAGAGGGTAGGAAACTAACAGAAGCACCAAGACTATGAATCTATGATACATACTTTTTTAGCAACAGATGTTTGTTAACAAAATTGGCGTGTAGCCTGACAATGTTGGTGTATGAATTTCTTAGTAGACTTGTGGTACTCCACTGTTCTTCGTTTACATACATGCACTGATCCTGAGTCAGCTTCATGTTGATAACCACTATGTGCATGTATACGACTTCTTGAGGAACGTCCCAAGGATTACAATCACGTAGAATAGCTGTGGTTGCTTGACTGAGTACAGAAAAACGTGTGACTAACGACCACCGGCTTGGGGCCAGAGAAAGCGGTCTTTAGTGGCAGGTGGTCCCTAGTTAGAGGATTCCACCGCACAACCATAATGAATGTGATCGCGAGACCGTCCGTGCCTGGCGAAGTGGTCTGTAGTACCAGGCTGGTCGCTAGTCACGTTGGTCTTTAGTTACAGGTTTTACTGTACCGGTACATGTATTACCAAGAGTACATAGGTACATTAGGCGCTGCATCTGCCGCTAGGGTTTATCGGGTGTTAGCGGCCGTCGTGAGTTCCCTTCGAGAACGGACACGATAATTAAAAATTTTACTTTATTTTTTTAATTTTTTACATACATTATGTACTCTAGATACTAGATACTCTAACAATTTTATCAACAATTATGATAATTACCACATCAAATGCTGCAGAGACCTATCCAGAATCGGCAATATGCTGGCCCTGGCTTGGAGATCTGCAACTACAATCAGCTTCTACTTTGCAACATTAACGGATTAGTCCCCTTTGTCGATTGATGGATCAATCGGTAGATTCGGCTCTGTTTTTCTTTCCTTTCTTTCTTGTTTTGAATTCTATGTTGAACTCATTGGATTTCTTTGTATTCTGTATCTCGTTATCGTTATATTTCCCTCTAGCCCTCTCGCTTAGGATGAGCTTTCTTTTTTATGGCAGCTTAAGCGAAGGCTATACATGTATACCTGCTGTATGCAGGTTGATGCCGACGCGAACAAGCAAAATAATAATAATAATAATAATAATAATAATGTACTCTTGGTAATACAAGATGATACTGTCTTGTAGCTGGTAACCAGTGTTACATCCATGAAGGCCCATGCAATCTTGAGAAGCTGAAACGGTTTGGTGAGGGACTGGGCATAATCGTGTTACCTCAAGTTCACTACGGCTATAATAGTGGCTCATGAGCGTGACAGTCGGACGAGACATCCTCCACTCATCCAAATGATCAGTTCTGCCTCCTGGTTTCCAGGTGCCCGTATTAGCTGTGGTCGTGCCCTGTCTCCGTCCTCCGGTCCTCCGGTTCTCCGTTTTGTCAACTCGGGATCCCGCGCAGAATCACAGCCTGACTTGTTCGGTGAGTTCATTTTTCCAAGCAATCCAGCTGGGATGCCCTTCAGCATTGTGAAGTTCTGGATTGAGAGAGCTTGAGTGCCAGCACGTCGGAACCCCACATGTGACATGATTATTGATTGTGACTTGTCACTTGATCATGGTGATGGTCCAGTGCAGTGCAGGAAGTCACTCACGTGAGTAACCAGGTGACAGGTGACAGGCGCCAGGCGGCCGGCCAGGTGCTGCCAGGCTAAAATAATTATAGGCTGACATGTGGACACTTGACAGCATGCAGGGAGTCGTTATAAGACAGCATGGGAGTAGTAAAATACCTACCGCCAACAATGCGCGTCACGCGCGGGATCGTATCTGACAGCGTAACCTTGGACACCAAAGCAAAAATATGGCGTCGAAAGAAATTTTTTATTTTTTCACCGTCATACGAGAATTATTTGAATGTACACAAAGCTCATCATGCTCAGCTCAGTCGAGTCATCGATACTCTTTCTCTCCAGCTTTTTCACGTGGAGTGTCTGAATAGTTTTCTCGTTCTGTTGAAGACGAGGCAGCTGCAGGAGGTCTTCTCCTGACTACTGGCGTGATGGGGGCTTGCTACAGCTCCTTATCGTCGTGGTACAACTGGGCGCTGGGTCCCAGCGTCTTGTCCACTGGCAGATATCGATATCCGAGTGAAGGAGTGGATGGGGAACCAACAATTGAATTCCACAACCTCATCGATGCCGACCCGGCTTTGCTGGAGCTGGGTCAAGGCGTTCCTGTAATTACGGACCGAGAGAGGGAGATCATTGGCTCGGGCAGGTATGATGACATCGTCATTCACCAGGCTACGGACGGCACGGAAAGCAGGCAGCGCGACGAGGAGATGAGACTGCAGCGCGAGCAGGAGGCCATGTACGAAGCGAAACGAGAGCAGGCCAGAGCTGCACGCCAGGCGCAGAGCATGGAGGCGTCCAGAGCCGCCGCCACAGCCGTGGCCGTGGCGCAGGCCACGAACCTTGCGCTCAGGCAAAATGGCGAGATGTACATCTCGTCCGCTGCTCCGCCAGCCAGCGCCTCACCCCGCACTGAGGTGCGCAGTGAGGGAGCTGCATCGTCACAAGCATCCACGGACACGACGGACGGCAGGGATTCGTCAGTCGTGGCACCTCTAAGCCTCAATGGACTGCGCAGTGAGCCGAAACTGGACCCAGCCAGGGCGCAGATTCATGCTTTCGAGCAGAGTATGAGCAAGGGTGGCAAAGCAGCCACGTCGACATCGCCCAGCACTGATAAGCGGATGACGTCTGGTGGCAAGCAGTCCTCAACGGTGTTCACTGCGTCCACGACATCAGTGCTCGGTGCTACAGTGAAGCCCCCGTCAACCAGCAGCGGACTGATCGGCAGTAATCCCCGGATGATGCAACGGGAGCCACCGCCCTTCACGGACACCGACCTCGTTGACGGTCTGCCCACGACGCACGCCGACCAACTGGCCAGATTCGAGGCGGCTGGGTTCCACGCCGTCAGCGATGTTCCTGCAGCAGCGGCGAGTGGTAGCAGTAGCGTAGTGTCCGCCGACACACCAGCACCCGCAGCCACGGTGAGCGACTCTGGCTTCAGTATCGTGGACGACGAGGATGACGACGACTTTGAGTCGTTCCTGGAGAGCGTGCAAGCGCAGGCAATGGCCAGCGACAGTGCACCGAGCTCCGCGGCAGCCTCGTCTGCAGATGAAACCGTTACCTTACCGGATACTAGTACTAGTACTCTTACTCGTTCTGTGAGTCCGCCACCTGGTGATTCACGTCCTGTGAGTAACGAGGCGGTGGCGTCATTGGTGGCCGCCATCACCAGTGGGGATGAGGACGAAGAGTTTACGTCATTCGAGGACAGCGTCCGGTAGAAGTTCTGAAAGGTACTCTGTCCGGGCTTTTTGTGTGTGTGTGTGCGTGTGTGCGCGCGTATGTGTGTGTGTGTGTGTGTGTGTGTGTGTGTGTGTGTGTTCATACATGTGCGTATATGTCCACAACTACGTCCCGACTCTTCACTCTTGATATTTTTTGTGCACTCGATGTAGTTCGCGCTCAGTCCTTGCTAGTGGTGTCATATCGGAACGTTTGCGTGTGACATTTCTCCCTATTTGCCTCTCCCTCTCCATCTTTTTATCAACTTTCTTACTCCATCAATGTCGCTCCACTTCTCACAATCTACTTATAATACAAAAGTTGTTTTTCTGCGGAAAAAACGCAATATGCCACCTCCCAGTACCGTTATTCCTTGTACTTTAAGCATCATAGTTATTTAACCGCACGCTCTACGAGTTCTAGAGCTAGAGGTGCACTACTGTTGCAGTGCCAGAGCAAAGTAACTGCTGCGGTCTGTGCCGTGCTGATCAATAATTCTTTTTGCTTTTCTCGCCATGAAATTCTCCGGACAGAAGTTGTCGCCGCTGCTGCTGCTGCTGGCGGCCCAATACTGAGTGAAAGCTCAGGCTGAAATTATCATTACCCATCAAATGTGAACTTTATCAAACACACACGTGAACGACTAACAGTGCACGGTCGATTCTAGATTTTTGTGTCACGCTGCTGCTGCTGTTGCTGTCTGTGCTTGAGGCTGATGCTACTACTTATACATTGCGTTGCTGTGTATTAATGTGTTTTTGTATAGTGAAGTGAAGTTGCTTTATGATGTCGTCGCCGTCGCTCGTCGATGTTGGAATTTTGTTGCTGGCTCTGTGTGTCGGTGTGTTTGTGTGTGTGTGCGTGTGTGTGTGTGTGCGTGTGTGCGCGCGCGCGCGTGTATGGGTGGGTGGTTGTGCATGTGAGTGCGGTTGTGGGTGTGTACGCAACGGGCGCACATACACACGGTCGTATGACCACCTGTGCGTCACCAGACTGTGTTAGCCTGCACTCCCTTTTAATATCCCCAACTCGCGTCTGTGGCTTGCATAACGATTATACTTGAAGTACAGAGGCAGAGGCAGTAGGCGTAGGTTCTGCGAAAGTGCTCAATGCCTGATTCAGGCAGAGCGGCGTACACAAAGGCACACAATGAGCGTTGTCTGATGATTGGTTCAGCCATGATACTCAGAGTCACAACGGAATTTGCCCAAGGTTTTTCATTGTGGGCCTTTGTGTACTTGAAGTACGTGTGACTGAGTACAAGTGAAGACGTGACCACAAGACATGGTTAGCATTTTACCGTTCGCGCTAACTTCGACCGTCGGCCTGGACCGTTTTTCGTGTGTTTTCAAGACATGGTTAGCATTTTTGGTTTCTGATACAACGGTCGACTTGTGACGTCACCCTAGTTAGAATCTTTCCGTTTCATTCTCCCACTAAACAGAGCTTTCTATCGTCGAAACAATACCAAACCGACGGCATATTGGGTGCTGGGTACGAGTACCACTGGATTCTGCGTGAACGGTAAAATGCTAACCGTGTCAACTACCGTAAAGTCGTGTATAAAGGCCGCGGCTTATATCACTCTTTGGGGAAATTTTGTTCGTATGAGACAGGCTTCTGTATAAGACAGGTATTTCTATGTATGCCAACACTAAAACCAGGCTTATCAACCACTGCATCGTCATGACTACACAATGGTATACGTGTGCAGTGGCTGTCCTGCACAGTATGGCACTGGATGTACGGCAAGAGCCCGCATAGTCGATTGTAATCCCCCCAATGCCGCATAATCCTTGTGTAACTGACCGCTTTAGGCCGCATAATTATGCGCATAATTATTTGAGAAATTTGCCCGCACAATTCACGGGGAATAGACTCAGGTCCATGGGTTAGTAGCACCCAGGCAAAAATCACCAATACAATGTCAACTCCAGGAAAATACAGTAGATTGAGCAAATCTCCGGACATGCGTGCTTCGTGCACACACGGGTAGGCGCTTGCTCGTCATTTTCTACACACTGCTGATTCTGTGACGTTCCTACGTGACCCTACTGGCATATTATCTGCCATAGATTCAGTTGTGCGTATAGAATTGGCACAGAAGTGGAACGGTTAAGTGTGGCTTGCACAATGAAGAGCATCCCAATCCAGTTGGGACTGTGTACGTACATATACTGGTAATATTATTGTAATTATTGCTACGTTTCCATGGAAATCTGCACTTGTGCTCTAGCTGGAAATATTGACAATCTCGGATGAAGGGCCGAAATCAAATCTTGATGACGTAAAACATGTAAAGCATAAATTGGATATTATCAACTGCCTGAACTTGGTTTCTGGCCCGTCAAAGTTATGCACTGCAATGCGAGTACATTAATTCCCGTGGCATAATGTCATGCCATGCAGAATCACCAAGCAAATAGCCATGCAGAAGAGGACAATGCGTGCCCGTAGTCTTTGTGAAAGGCAGGTTGACTACTATTGCAGTACGTCTGATGCGGTCATGAATCCAGATGTGAGTGGGTGTGACAAAGTATAATACACACAAGAACAATTTTTGCAGCCTACCTAGAGATACTCTTCCTCTACCTAGAGATAATTAAATCTAAATCTTAATATTCTCATGGCTACGTGGAACTTGTTTTCCACACACAGAGCACGATTATTGGTACTGATCGATCCTTTCCAACCTCGGTCAACATGACATTGTATCCACAGAACATGGCCCGTGAGCAGCTGTGAGGCTGACTTGACCTATCGCAAAAGTCTGCGGATAAGCCTAGCCAGTGCAGGCTAATTTTTATTTTTCAAGGAAACCCTTCGAAAATGGTACCAATCGATTCAGCATGGCATTTTCATTCCTCCTGCAAAGTTTCAGCTGATTTGGAGTCATGACAAGGACGCTATGGCGATTTGAAGATCGAAAAACTTCACTTTTGTTTGTCAAGAAGAAAGACCATGATCGCACACAAATCATACAACCCGTGTGGCACAATGATTTTTGAACGAAGTTGATCCGCGTACCCCGTGCTTCGCGCATGCACGCATGCATACTGCACAGTACCGAGGCTTTTTTGAACGCAGATATGTAGTTCTTCGTCTTCTTCGAAATGTCTTCCAAATGCGTGGTGTTGGTGTTGTTCTCAGCTTCGTCAAGGCAGAATGCAGCTGCATGTGATGCTCCTGTGTGTTCATGCATGTTCTCTTTTCGCGTCTCGACATTGTAGCGTCCAGACTCAGCTCGACTGGAGAAGATTGAGGAGACTATGCTTTGATCCACATGGAAAATCGATGAAATTTGGTAATTATCGTCGGGCGCTAAAAAGCGCTGGGGAGCATGGGGCTAAAACTTCGCAGCAGTCATCCCTACCATGACAGGCATCGACTGGTATATGTTCCATTCTGTTCCCAACCACTACGGGTCGTCTGCGAAGCTTTCTTCTTCGCCGATTCTCGGACAGATCGTACGTCTTCGCACTGTATCTCTCGTCTCCCTCAACGGATCAAAACACGGTTTTCGCCAGGACGAACACAAACCCCCAGATTTCGCGGCGGCAACATCTTCGAGTAGGGAAAAGCTAGCAGCTAACCAGGAATCACCAAAAAACATGTGTAATACTCAGTGTGATTTGCGACAGCTGTCATTGTGCCGTCGCACCATGCATGTACCATGCACGGGAATGGAACACGGATGAGTCGTTTTATTACGACAGCCTGCACTGGCTAATAAGCCCATGAGCTCACCTGGTTCGAAATGGGCCTTCGGACGGGCGTATGTGTGCATGGGCTTGGGGCTTGTGCAAGGGGTGTGCTTTCGCATGGCCATGGGCTTGCACGCCATTGATGTATAACAACACCAACACAGCAAGCACTGCTAGTGCATCTGTTGAATCTGGCATCAACGAAGGAAACCGAACTAACAAAATCTGTTGGGTTTGCACTTTTCACATTGATGCCTGGTCGGGTGCCTGGTTGGGTGCCTGGACCTACCAGTAGGGACACACACGTAGTTGGCGGTGTACTTTATAATTCTTTTTATTATCGTGTCCGCTCCCAAAGGGAACTCACGACGGCCGCTAACACCCTGTAAACCCTAGCGGCAGATGCAGTGCCTAACGGCGGGGTGAGTGGATAAGTCTCACAACCACTGGCACAAATGCCGAGAAACCCCATTAGCCGCATCCATGTACCCTTTGTGTCTGGCCACACGTTCCCAATTGACTGTGGGTAGCAGCACGGCTGGAAAACCGCTCCCAGGCAGGATTTGCACTTGATACAGTGAGTACGGGCGGCGGTGGTCCAGAAGAACGCAGGCATTCGGTGGGCATCTGGCGAAGTCGTATGATTTGTGACGACAGTTCTTTGGCGGCACAGCGCTTGCAAATCTACAGAGGTCAGCCTATAGTCACACCGTGATGCATGTGCAGAATCTATCCAATTGGACATTTTCACATCGCTTGTCCATCCATTCTGTCTTGCAACTCGTCATTTGACTGACCATGTAACTGGTCAAGCTAGTGGTCGATCATGTGACTGGTTACCGTATTTCCCCGATTATACGTCGCACCCCCATTTTCAGGTTTGAGCAATATTGTGTCGACATGATCACTTCAGTAGTAAGTCATGCTCGATTGTAAGTCGCACCCCCTTTCTCACCCTTGGTTTTTTGTGTAAAAAGGTGCGACTTATATTCGGGGAAATACGGTACGTAGCTAGCTTAGCTTCACTTCGTGACCAGGTGACTGATTATGTTTTTATGATGTGATTGGTCATGTGACTTGTCATGTGATTCCGTCACATGACTGGTCATGTGACTGGTCACGTGACTTGTTATACGACTGATTATGTGACTAGACATGAGACTGATCTCGTGATTAATGTCATGTGACTGATCATGTGATTTGTCATGTGACTGATCATGTGATTTGCCATGTGACTGATCAAGTACCCACAGTATAACATCTATGCATACATGTAGTAGACTACGAACCTGTTTACTGATGTGCAGCCATGTCTTGGTCAGTCTGCAGATGGCCGATGTGCTCATGGAGCTGGTGATCATGGTGATGGCGTAGAAGTTGTTCATTGTCAGGCAGATGTCGCCGATCGCGATCCACTTCTCGATGGCGGCGGCACGTGACGACGCGTTCTTGCGCTGCAGGATCTCCCACATGATCAAGCCGGTCACCTGCGGATAGTATGTGTGCATGTGTGTGTGTGTGTGTGTTTGTGTGTGTGTGTGCGTGCATGCGTTTGCAAGTGTGTGTGTGTGTGTGTGAGTGTGTTTGCGTGTATGTGTGTGTGTTTGTCATGGGAACATATTAATTCATTTGAGCTTCCAGGATAGAAACCAAATGCACCCAGACTTCCGTTTCCAGGAGCCTCTTTCAGCCCATCAATCCCAGTTGTAGATATGAATGTGTACTACACTTGATGATAGCCTAAAAGGAGTGTGACTCGCATGCCTGCGTATATCCAATGCTACAAAGAGCTGAACCTATACTGCAAATATCTGGTCCTGACGATTCACGTGAAAATCTCTAGTCCTGACGATTCGCATGAGAATCCTGATGTGGAATTTGCCGGCAGATACCTTGTGTGCCGAGTGTCTATGTAATGGAATCAAGACGAAACACTCAGCAAGAATAAACAAACATCACCCTGATCAGGCGGCGTGGAGATAATAATCGTAGCATGACGATGAATTAAAAAAAACACCTTTGGTCACGACACTCCACTAACGACTGTGACAAGAAAACGTTCTGGACACGAAACTACAGTCGTCCCTCTCTAATCCGGCACTTTATAATCCAGCACCCTCGATAAACCAGCACAATTTTCAGTAGCCAAAATGTCCTCTTAATGCACATTGCAGCAGTAAATCAGATTTGTTAATCCAGCACCCTCCCTAATCCAGCAGATTTTCGTGGCACAAATGGTGCCGGATTATAGAGGGACCACTGTATTTGGGTTCAACCCCGTTGCTACAGTGTACGTTTGTGATATGAGTACGCACTTAATATTATTCATGATCACCGTGATTACCTGATTATAGAAGTCAGACACTGCCATGACGTGCGGGGCTGTTTCGCGCCGATCCCCCTTGCCGAAGCTGCCACTGACGAGCTCCCTGAGCGCAGGGTCAAAAACAAATAGAGAGCGTGGGATTTTATCATGGGGGTGTGCATGGCTTGCATGGGTGAGCAGGAGGACTGTGGAGGCTGGTGTATACGCACAGAGCATCAGCAGGACATGGACACTATTGTTGAATGGGGTACCTTCATTACGCAACTCAAAGAGCCGCATTAGAATTGTACTACATGTGCATAACACATGTAACAGGGCTTGAACGTGGCATGTCACTGCCAGACCAGAGTCATGACAATGCGGCCATCCACCTGCATCTAGTTTTCGTATGGATCCATACACATTTGGGCGGCTTTCCCGAGTTCACGGCAGGGTTCAGCATCCATCAGTATTGATGTGACTGGTCCGGCCCTTCCCGGCCGGGGACCCTCTCCTGGTACAGAAACATCCACACGTCCATGTGACACGAGGGGCCTACCCCACCACATACCGTACCTCGCTACGGGCAGATAGGGACCCGGAAGTCATTATTCGTCGTCATTTTTCAACTTCTGATGTCATCACCTCCAAGCGCTATGCTGGATGCAGTTCTACAGCGAAGACCACTAGCACAGTCCGCGCATGAATATCTGTGGACATTTGCACATTACACCCGTCCAGCACGCACATGTCTTCAGGATCTGCAGAAGAGAAAAGGCCGACTAGCTGCCGTGTACTCCAGTCAGACCTCGCTTATCCGGATCCCTCACCATCCGGAAGAAAATCGTTGGCTACCGATTTACAGCATATGGCATGCATACATACAGTATGTGTGTTCAATTCTCCGGCTCCCTCGCCTATCCGGATATTTTAAATTTGGAAAACGGATGTGTGCAGTTAAGCGAGGCTGACTGTACTACTGGCGTGTTCAACTCACTTTCCCGGCATGGCGCAAATCACACTGTAGCCGACCAGGGCCAGTTGCTTGGCAACGGTCTCGTTGTCAAGGGAATTGAACTGGGGTAAGCGGTCCATCTGCAATAGGAGCAATAAAGGAACAAACACATCTCAGTGGCCAGCGGCTACCGCGAGAATGATTCAAACAAATTGAATATAGGACATGTCACAAGAAGACTTCACAGTTTATGCTTAAATTGCAGCCTTCTCCTAAGCATGAACTCGGATGGAGAACCAAGGATAAATTTATAGAATAGAAAAGGGACCAAGGAACTACAAGTTACGCTATAATGTCCACCAACACCACCAGTTACTAAGCAATCAGCTCGTGCGATAACATGGCACGACACTGACCGACGATACTGACTTCCTACAACCGTAACTGGCTAACAGCCCTAGCACATCTTGGATGTGCACTCCAACAGCCTTCACAGCTGAGAATTTCAGGCCGTGCTTGTCTTGGTTGCGCTCACCTTCCCCTCCTATGTTATCATATAACTTGTAACCTTCCAAGTTGGAAGGCTGTTGGAGTGTGCAGCCAAGATGTCTGAACGTGTGCTGGGTTTTGTGTGTGTGTGTGTGGGGGGGGGGGGGGGGGGGGGGGTGCCGTGTGTGCCCGTGTAGTTCTCACCGCTTCATTGTAGCGACTCTTCAGCGTCTGGAAGCTGTGTTCCATATGCTTGGACTGTTGTCGGTTGATAGCCCTGCCAAGAACAGAACACATTCATGTCATGCCATCTTCGGGATGAGTAGTTCCGTGTGATCGGTGACCTTGCCAGACTCACAACACAAGTTTTAATCATAGCTCATGAAACATCCCAGCAATGTCAACCAGCTCACACCTGGTGGCCATGTTGAACTCCGCTGCTGTAAGGCACATATCCTTGTCCAGCATTCTGCCTTTCCCGCCGAGTCCATCCTGCCTGCCTTTTTCCAACCCCGCCCCTCCTCCACGCATGGACGCACGTATGAACACCCCCTCCCCCCTCCACGCACACATTTCCCCCGTGCTGTCTTCCTGGCATAGTTAAAAGACTGACGGTGGCCAGGAATGAGGCTCACGCCAAGAACCCAGACCACCAGATAGCACACAAGACCAGCTCCGATCCTCACCCTGCTCTTACCAACCAGTCTCATTTTTAACCTTCTCTCTTATGACCTGCAGACTATGCACTTCTTCAACCTTGGCTGTCAGAACAGTTCTCACTTATTCCAGAACATATTCTTGTGAATATCACCAATGTATGGCCAAGCAGGGGCGTAGGCAGGGGGGGGGGGGGTGCTTTGGGTGCCAAAGCACCCCCCTCAAAATTTCGATCTTGGTTCACAGCTCGTTCGAGAGAGACCATAGCAGACCCGCTGATCACATGCGCAACTCTGCACATCGCACACTGAGTCTGTAGCCATCCCTGTTTTAGACCAGGGAGTAGTAGGTATTACTCCCTGGTTCAGACCTGCAAGTACAATGTATCTGAAACCAAATTACATGCAGTTGACTCTTTAAATTTTTGTCTCATGATTGGCCATTTTGCAATGCAATTTCTAGTCAAGGGAACTCCGCTTCGTACCTACCGTTGTGCAGTGTCACATCAGGCCTCAGCAGGCTCAGCACATGATTTGCATCGCACTCCACATGTTTTGTTAGAAGCAGAGAATCATACAAACGCGCCATTGGTAGAAGCAAGGAAGTAGCAACGCGGTCTATGGCCGGAAAGCACACGTCCGACATAGCAGTTTGTTCTCGCTATGTTTTGTATAATGTAGTTCTCGATGTTAATTGGTCTCGTTGTGGAAAGGCAAAGTTTCTTTCATGCATTGCAAGTGTGGATACCTGAGGAGTAGAAGAGTGAAAGTCACGTTGAAGTGCATTTTGAGTTTTTGTGGGGAATAGTGTAGGTTTGATCAAGGATGCCTTACTGCACTATCAAACTGACGAAGGGGAAAAATGGCTCGAGAAATCCCACTTTAAAAGTTCGATGGAGAGTGTGATAATTCTGGAGAATTTCTCAGAAAGCAGCATCCAGGACTTAGTCCATCATTAGTTGGAAGCAGGCCAGGGTGTGGTAAAATACCATAATTATTACTACTCCCTGGTTGGAGATTTGCCATTCACTGATTGATCTTCAGCGTCGAATTTTGCTTCCCCCCCCCATTTCACGGACCGAATAATGTGCATGAAAGGACCAACATAAGTGCATGTACTTTTGTGTGGGGAAAGTCGTGGCACCCCCCTTGATCACTATCCTGGCTACGCCCCTGCGGCAAGTGAAGGAAGAAGTGAACATCTACTTGTCCCGAGTGAACGTGTGTGATGTGAAAAGCAAACACAACAACTACCTTGAAGAACAAGCCCATCTATGCAGTATGCGGCTCTCATTTTTAACTTACTCTCTTATGACCTGCAGACTATGCACTTCCTCATCCGTGGCTGTCAGGTTTCCGGAGAGTTCATTGATGAACTTGACAAGCTTCTCAAGCAGTTCACTGTTTGTGGCAAAGTCCTACAGCAGAGGAAACAACACGACCCGGAAGCACAATTCGAAATATGCCCGGCTGCAAAATGTTCAACTGGATCAGTTTTGACGGATGACTAGTGCAAGCATAGATGTAGGACTACTAGTACTGGTACCTGATGTGCGTGCGAACTGGGCAATTCAACCAGTTCTGATCCAAAGCGCAGTTTTTACTTCTGTGCGGAGCTAATACCAGGCGTGCATGGTCGGGAAGCACCTAAAATAGACACCATGGGAGGGGGGGGGGGGGGGGTACTGGGTTATGTGCTTGCAATACATCAGACCATACTGTGAAACCTCACTATATGAAACATCACTACAACGGACAGGTATTCTGTACTGCACTGTTGTGCACATTGAAATCCGGTGGAATGACCGGGGCCGGCGCCCTTACAGCTTCAGCACATACGTGCACTGATAATCTGTAGTTCAAGTACACACTGTAACCATTGACCAGCAGTGCTCGTGGCTGCAAGACCAGCGTCCCGTGGCCGCTTGACTTCTCAACAGATTTCACTGTCTGCCACAGTGCTTTGTAACCAAGGTTCTGCGTAACCATGTGTACCTGTACCTGAAAGTGATGGTTCAGCCACTTGCGCAGGATGCAGAAGATGCGCAGCAGCAGGTGCTCCTGGAGGTGCGGCTGCTCCAGAACGTCGTCGGACACGTCGCTGGCCTGGCTCAGCGATGACGTCATCCTGAAGGACATGCGGCGACGGTCCGCTGACACGCTCGGTTGCCATGGCGATCTTAACGCTGGTAATGGAGACGGAACATCAAGAACAGAAGGTAAGCCTACGGAACATATCTGCTTGCACCGAAATGCTCATTTCTTTACTTATAACTCGTAACATTTCGTCCTTCTCCTTTTTCACGATAGTTTTTAATTGGCTCACCATCCGAGTTCATTTCTTTACCCACTGCTATCCGGAAAACCCTACACACACCATCCTCAAATCAAGCGGTCTCTTTATCTCAAACTTTGCAACGAAGAGACCACTTGATTTGAGGATGGTATGTGAAGGGTTTTTCGTGTAATAAAGTGCCTGCAGTGGAGCTTGCGCACATTAAGAACTGCCATCCTATTATGATTATTTTACCAACTGTTCAACAAGTGTTCAATGGGAATTTTGATACTTCCATATCTGGGCCAGTCATGATGAAGATGTATGTCCTGGCTGATGCGTAATGATGCGAAAGCCAGTCAAACTAGCAATGTAGCATTGCAAAGGAATACCACCACTGGGAGTAAGGCATTCAACCGTGTAAATCAATAGCATGCCCTCGTTGACGTGAGCGAGTGGAATGCTGGGCCCCCGACTTGACATATGCCAAAGTCAATGGATTGCGGTGAGAGAGGAGAGAAAAGAGAGCAGGTAGGCAACCATACAAGAAAACCTATACTGTACACGACTCAAGGAAAACCAAACAACCCTAAGACTTGCTGATGTGGTGTTGGTGCATGCCACAACATTGCAGAGTCATTTTCACAAGGAAATGAGGTCCTGCTGAACCCCCCCCCCCCCTACAGATAGGAGTTGCTAGATCAGATCCACTGGAGTGATCTGAGGTTTAAAACCCATTTCATTAAAAATGAAAGACCCTACGCACATCATCCTCAAATCAACTGGTTTCTTCGCTGCAACTTTCTTCACTAAAATGACAGGGAAACAAATGTGCTCCGTTACCTGACGGTATGTCTCCCTTCTCGTCCTCATGGTCATCTAGTCCATCACTGCGTGAACCAGCCATTGCAAAGCGAGACTGGAAATCCGGATGCTGGGCGCTCAGCTGTAGCCAGCACAAACCACACAACAATATGAGACCACAGTTGGATACGGGGAAGGGCAGGGGGTTGGGGTGGGGGAGGGGTTGGGGGAGGGAGGGGTTGGGGAGGGGTCAGGGTTGGGACAGGAGATGGGCTTGGGGGGGGGGGGGGGGGGGTGGGGAGGGGGTTGGGGATAACCCTCCGTAGATACTTACCCCTGTGGTATGGACCCTTTGCACACACACGCACACACCCTGCACACCTCTCATGCCCCTCACACCACACTCACGCATGCACACACACACACACACGCACGCACACGCACGCACGCACGCACACGTTATTCTTGTGTACAAAACACGTACCAAGGAAGAGCAGTACTCCCCATCCTTGACGGGCGGAAAGTCCTCATCGAATGGAAACACACCCAGTTGGGATTCATCCTGTAATTTTGGAGATTGACCTGGATGCAACGGTCCTCTTGGCGTCCCATCTAACCAGACAAAGTCGTCACTTGTCGTACTAACAGTAGAAGCTTCAAAGGTCGATCTGGCAGATCCGTGTTCACTATGGAGTGCTTGGTCATCCTGTTTGTCGCTGAATCGTACGCCCCGGTTTGGACTTGACGTGGCCTTGGCGGGGGATTTGTTAGAGTCGACCGACTTGAAGCGGCGCAAATGCCGTGCCCGCCGGTTGGTGGATGGCAGGGTGGCTCGACCGTCCATGTTGCTGTCGAAATGTGTCGGGCTGGACGGTGTTGTGGCAACGGCTTGGTTACTATCTTCCGGACTTTGACGTTTCTCCGGTGTGAGCGGTAGCAGTACAATGCTACTCTGCCTGGGCTTCAACTCGGTATCCTCTTCGGCGTCGCTACCAATACCGTCATCACAATCTTGAGCTGCAGGCGGTGCGGTTCCACCTGGCTCTGACATCGCATGTGAGCTTTCCGTCGGCGATTCTCCCGGTGCTGCTGACTCAAAATTCTGCTCTGGAACACTGATCGCTTGCTCCACGGCATCTGCATTATTATCGGAGATGGCGACTGCTGCATCGACTTCAGACGAGGTGCTGTGGCGATCCCGATGCTGCTCACCTTCACCGGCGATCACCGTGGTTACTGTGCTGTTCTGTGTTGCCATGGCACTATCAGACACTTGCTCACTGCTCTCGCCACCGGAGCCTCGGTGATCGAAGAAGACCATCTTGGACTCGACGCTGAGGGCCGGCGCTGGTGGCTCTTCCTCGACTTTGGCCAGCCCTGGCGACACGTTGTCGGATGTCTTGCGACTGCTGCACGCCGAACTGCTGGTGCTTTCTTGTGGCGACATCCACTGGTCAGCTTCTTCGAGTACTACGGGTACTTCTGAACTGCCCAGGGATGAATTGGAGAACGCAGGCTGTGGTGATGCGGACAGAGACTGGGTTAGGAAAGTCGACTTGGACACGGGACTGGGTACGAAATCTGCACTCAATAAACGAACACATAAGGTGCATGCATACACGCACATACACACACAGACATGTATATACACACATGTGCATGAATGCATGCAAGCACGCATGCTCATACACGCAGATATACGCAGACACACACAGATACACACACACGTACACATGCACGTAAACACACATACACACAGAAACATACACACACATACACACAGACACAAGCACACACACACACACACACACAAGCACACACACACACACACACACACACACACACACATACACACACACGGTCACCGTCAAGCCATACACATGGACATACATACACAGGCCCACAAAGCCGCTAGTTACGTGTACAAACATCATCACTATGGTACAGTTAGGTAGCCAACAACTTTCACTTCATTTTCCCATTCAGCAGAAATTAACAAGGGCCCATAGCTCCTGTCTTCAATAGATCACTCTGAGTTCTCTGTTGTGGGCAGTGACACAGCGTTTAGTGTTCAACAACTCCTTCAGTACCGGATTCGTGATAGTGCAGCTACAGTAAAGCCTCAGTATTATCAGGCGCGTGCTCGGCGATGGGCACGGGGGGCACGTGCACCCCCCTAAACTTTCCAATCTGGGTAATTGCAATTGTAATGTATGCAAATATGCTCTAAAATTCAAGAAAGGTTGCAAACAAATTGCAGAAAATTGCCGGGGGGGGGGGGGGGCTCCCCTCGGCTCCCGTGCACCCCCCCCCCCCCCTAGTTGGGGGGCCGAGCACGCCCCTGATTATGATGTCTCTGAGGAGTGTAAAATATTACACGACGATCGTTTGGCCGTAGTGTTCATGACGGCTCTTCAGGTGTGCATGAAGAAATCAGATGGTGAGCCAAGGAATAAAAATTGTAACATGGAAATTGTGGGCACAAGTTATGCTATCGAGTCCACCAACTAAACCAGATTTTGAACAGTCAGACGTGTATAATCTAGCACAAAACTGACAAGGAGTACTGAGACATTCCACGGCATGAAAGTCTGTTCTTGATGCACACCTGAAGAGCCGTCATGAACAATACGACGAAACGATCGTCGTATGATACTATACATGTTATTGCAATTAGTTAGGAGTGTAAAATATGTACGTCTTAGCCATAAAATCTGTACTTTATAGGTCAGACACTGTACATGTATTACGGGAAGTCAAGGACTGTATCGGGAATGACGGAACCAGTCCGGTTCGTTGGGCCATGACCGGACTAGCTGTTTGGTCATCAACGCGTGTTTACCATGAGGTCATGTGCACCTGCCATAGCCTATGCAAATGCTGTTCTTTTGACCCTTTTGTCTTTGAAAGGCTACGGTATGGATGGATCAATACTGATTGAATAGCAATAAGCTGCTTCTGCAGGTCCTGGGTAGACTAGAATGCTAGGCTTGGACATCGTACTTCATAGTGCATAGACCACAGTATGTTGGCTATAGTACTGCAGTAATTTGCTATATGGTGCTGACTAGGAGGAGACCTTACCGGAAGAGCTTTGAAAGTCGGAGCGCTGCATGCTGTCAGACGAAGACACCACATCGGTCGTTGCTTCGAATGGAAGAAAGACATTCTCGTCGATTTCAACCATGGCTTGTTTCTCGTGGCGGCGAGAATGCTGCACCAGCCCCGGACGGCCTTCCAGTGACACGGACCTGGGTATTCGCTGAACGGAGGGCTCTGCGTCACCCTCGGCAACTGGATCGGCAATCTCAGAATTGCGCTGTGCACGGTGCTCTTTCATGGCGGTGGTGTCGGACGATGTCCGTCTCTCCTTGTCGAATTTGATTGGCGGCTCGGCGACTTCGCTAGTGCTGGTGGCGCTGGCTTTGGTCGAAAGCTCGCCAGACGTCGTCGACGATGCCCCTCGTTTGCGGATCACTGGAGATCGCCGTGGCGACAGCGGTATGCGCGAGAAGAAATCGGAGATGCTGAGGCGGTTGCTTTCCTTCTTGTCACTGCTGTTCTTGCGACTGTCGGCCTTCTTCGGTGTCACGGCGCTGCCGTATGCACTGCCAGAGTCTTCGAATCCGAAAGCCTGGTCGCGAGTCTGTCGCTTGGACTTGCGGCGTTTCACCCGGTGTGGTGACCCGGTCGACTGAGCCGGCTCTGGGGTGTGCGGAGGGTCCGGGGTGTGCGGCGGTTCGGGCGTGTGGGGCATTGACGGCGGAGTCGACCCAAACTCGTCTTCCTTTTCATCTCTGATGTCGTCGTCGCCGTCCTGAAGCGGTGACTGGAACCAGGCCGGCGCTGATTCCGAGACAATAGCCATGGTCGCATCTCTAGCTGGTGATTTCGATCGCTTGCTGCGACCATTTCTTGGTGAGCATCCTGCCGGCGAATCCAAATTGACATGAGCGACAAAGCTGCTGCTAGTTTGTTGCGATGGCGTTTCAGAACTCAGGTTGCGCAGCATGCGCGAGAGCGGCGCGAACCCGCTGCGTGCCGACTGCGAGAGGCTGATGCTTCCGCTGGCGGCGACCGGCGTACTGCCTGCACTAACACTGCCGCCACTAACCGTCCCAGAGCGAGGGGCTATTGCGCTGCTTACGCTCTCGGCCAGGGCGGGCCGACGCTGCCGGTTGAGCTGCTGCTGCCGCTGCACGTAGCCGTCTCGCCCTGTTGACGGAGGTGGCAGTGGCTTCAGCGGGTGCAGTGCGTGCTTGCTCCACTCTTCGGAGTGACGCTCACGACGCAGTACAGCTGCAGGTGTACACAGGCAAGAAGTGGCGCGTACACATGCACAAGGTAGGGTTCTTCAACAATGCACGGTACACTTCTTTCAGGAAAATATTGTGTGTGTGATTAACTTTTTATCATGTAGGATGCTCCACTGGCCGAAGGGTGCTGAGTGCCCATATACGTAGGACTTTCTATAAAGTAGGGAGAGGAAAGAGAGAGAGGGAGAGAGACAGAGACAGAGACAGAGACAGACAGACAGAGAGAGAGAGAAAGAAAGAGAACAGATGTCTTGACTATTGTGTTGTGAATGCGGGCCAAGTGCGCAGCCCGTGTGGTCGAGTTTCTCAGATCAAGTTTACTGTCTTCCAACTGGTGAAGATTCCAATGCGCCATTTTCATTCTGATATCGGCAAGGTATAGTGAAATCCAGCCCTTGGACATTAGCTTTACTAGCTTTTTGGGGCTTGATTTAAACTTGCATCCCTCCATGAGTAGGCGTGCCTTTTACTTGGTGAATTTCAACACTGGACATCAGCTTTACAAGATTGAAGGGGTTGGATTTTACCTCTCTGTGTGTACGTGCTAATGCGTCTGGCGAAATCCAACCATGGGACATCAGCTCCACACGATGTCAGGGTTTGGACATCACCTGGTATCACGGTGTGTGGGTGCTTGTACATGTGCCTGACATAATCCTTCTCCTTTTTCACCAAGATATCAGCTGCACAATATTGCCATGGTTGGATTTTGCCTAGTACCACTGTATGGATACTGTGCGTGTACATACCCATATGGCAGATGAAATCCAACCCAGGACATCAGCTCTACAGTATTACAGGGATTGGATTTCAGCTGCCATCGCTGTATAGGTACCGTATGCGTACATACCCATTATGCCAGATGAAATCCAACCGGGGTTATCAGCTCTACAGCATTGCAGAGGTTGGATTTCAGTTGCCATCACTGGAGTCCAATGCACATGATATCAGCGATGTGAGTCTCACCTCTCTCCCTGTCGATAGCGCTCAGCGGGGAAACGACCTCCTTCTTCGGAGTCAGCAGTGGGCTGTCAACGACCGTCTTGCCGACATCTCTCTTGAGAGAGCCGACTGGCGAAGGATGATGGTGGCGGGCATGACGGTGAATCTGTCAACGCATGATCACAACAAGAAGGAAAGCCCTTACATACACGTTTTATCTTTTGCAACTTCAAAAGACATCACCTGATCAAGTGGCAGACATCCAGCTACTATGCTTATCATTTGAGGTATTAGACTCGGGCCGGGAGCCAATGACCAAAGAGCTACAACTATACTATCCACTAACACCACCAGTTACTTTGCAATCAGCAGGCTGTTGGAGTGCGCATCCAGGCTGTGCTAGAGCTGATTGCCAGTTAGGTGTAGAACGTTAGTACCGTCTGACAGTGTTTTTATTTATTTTTTAATATTTTTTGTGTATTGCAATGTTATCACGTCAGCTGATTGTAAAGTAACTGGTGGTGTTAGCGGATATTATAGGGTAACTTGTAGCTCTTTGGTCCTCTTTTCTACTTGAGGTATTAATCATGATAATAATATGATGTAATGCATTCATCCCCTTCTTCTTTTGTCCCCATACATACATGTACACGTACACGTACATTTCCGGTTTTCCAATGGGAGGTACGCATCTAAGATGGCCGACACTTTTTTTGCGGGGCAAGTTACCCCACACTTGCCAGGTACAACCCGTTATAGTACATAAATATGAGTATGACCTCACAAAGTTCATGATCTTTTATGCAGAGCTGGTATCACAGTGTGTACGGTTGTAGTGGACTTGCCCCGCAAAACCTAATGGCGGGACATTGATGCATACGACCCATTGTTCTCCGAGTATCTCATTTGCACTGTCTTACAGGTAAACTACTCCGGGACACAATTGTTGGTCACACAGTCTGATTGCATTAACCAGATTAGGGCGTTGCGCCCACACCCTCCCCTTCACTGGTTCGTCTCCAGAGACAATCCGCTCAAACCGAGAGTTTAAATCATTCAAACACTTTCAGGTAACCGATAATATGGACACAAAATTTCGGAATCTAACTTCTAAAACCCAAAGGCCAACCAGCTGCTAGCATTGAATCCAATACACCACACCACCACATTGCGTTCTTGGCTCAGGAGGAGCGAAACAGCTGTCTGGAGGGTCATTGTCAATATCAATCTATATACCGGAATTGTCCTCGCTGTGGTGATGGTGATGTGAGTGCAGAGTTTGGATCGGCCAAGAGCGCAATGTGCTGGTGTGGTGTATTGGATTCGACAATGGCCGGCTCGTCGCTACTTCTTCTCAGCTGCTAGCATCGGCATTAGTACCATTGGTTCATCATAATGGGTGTAGTGTGGAAGTTTGTAAAAATATATTAAAGCCTACCTGTTGAAACGTGTTGATGAGGAAGTCGAGGAAGTCGGTGTGTGAAATGAAAGCAGACATAGTGGCCAGGAAGATGTGAAGGTACTCCTTCACTAAGCCTTTGGGATGCACCAGCCGTTGACACAGGGACTGCACGCTCTCGGTCTGGATCTGAAAACAAACACACACAATAGAACACACACGACAATCCACTAACACGAGAGGGTAGATAGTATTTGGAACCCATCTAGAATCCACACACCTCTGCTCAAGCCTATGATTATAGAGCAGCTCACTGAACTTGCAACCTACGATGCAGGAGCCATCTCACTCAACCCCCCCCCCCCCCCCCAGCACCACGCGCACCCCCCCCCCCCCCCCACACACATACACGCACTCACTCACTCACTCACTCACTCATTCAAACACTACCTATGTAGCTACAACAACAATTACAATAAAGAACTTGTTCTTACTCGTTTCAACTCAGTCTGGCTGCTGCTTCGATACAGCTGAAAACTTCTGATGCTCTCAGGTCTGCAGGGGAAGCGAAAGTATGCACACAGTTTAGAATGCAAAACCCGCAACATCCATTTCAGCCCTTTTCAGTCAGTGGCCAAAAGGATTAATTTCATGTGTTGCTTGTATCTAAATCCATATTTGGATTTTATTTTTCGAAACGGTTCTAGTGAAATTTTGAATATGAAATGTTGCCTACCGGTGCCCCTAGCTAGACCGTTTGATTAGACCGAGCTGAACATACAGAGCTGCATGCTGAACCTCTCTTTCATTCGAATTTTCGACTTGATTTTCGTTTTGACATGCGCGTAATCGAACCGAAAATTCGACTTGCTGACCCTTCGCAAAATCTCATTTTCTCAAATTTGGCGCTCTTCGGGTTTTGCATCTCAGCTCTTCACGCACAAACGTGGACAGGTGTCTTGATCATCTGGCTGCGTAATACAGTCAGACATCGCTTAACCGCACACATCCGTTTTCCACAAAAAAATATCCGGATAGGCGAGGGAACCGGATAATCGAACACACAACCACCCCTATCATGCAGTATTCTGTTCTCGAGGTTCGTGGTTTCTCGTAAAAAAAATGCTGTATGCATTACATATGCTGTAAGCATTACATATGCTGTAAGTGGGTAACCAACGATTTTCTTCCGGATGGCGAGGGATCCGGATAAAAGAGGACTGGATAAGCGAGGTCTGACTGTAGTGCGTATACAGTAAAAACCTGTGACTAACAACCACCCCTTGGGGCCAGAGAAAGCGGTCTTTAGTGGCAGGTGGTCCTTAGTTAGAGGTTTGCACCGCACAACCATTATAATGAATGTGAGACCGTCCGTGCCTGGCGAAGTGGTCTTTTGTACCAGGCTGGTCGCTAGTCACGGTGGTCTTTAGTTACAGGTTTTACTGTACAGCGAAACTCTGAGTAACGACAGGACTTTGTTGTTTCACTTGCTGCGGGAGTATTTTACAAGCATGGGCACATGCCCGTAACAGAAAATGCATCATGGCTTCAAGGGACACTACACGTGGCATATGTAGTCACACAGTTGTTTTGACGTAACTCTCAGAATGCATACGCATACTCACACAGCGAATGCTTCTTTTGCCAGACCGGTGTACAGTCAACTACGCTTATAACGACACTCGGCGGGGCATCAAAAAGTGCCCTTATTCGCGAAGTGTCGTTATACCTGAAGTCTCATTATATGTATTACAGTTGGAAGGGACTTTGCTCTGCGCATGGACATGCTGTCGTTATTCGCGAATTGTCGTTATATCCGCAGTCGTTATCAGCCAAGTAGACTGTACCCGATGTATTCTTTCTCAGAAGATGAGCCTTACAAGATATTATCATGCCCAAGAATCCCCGCTGGAAAAAAATGTATTTTCTCACCCAGATCTTGAGAAGTTGAAGTCCATAGAGTGTTCGGGTGACAAGAGCACTGCGTCCATCTGCTTGCCAAAGTCGTCGGTATGCTCATGGAGTGTGGCAGTCTCTTCGATCTGCAGGTTACTGACGCACTGTGAGTAGAGCATGGTGAACACATAATGACTTTTTTACCAGTCATCAGACGAACTGTTATGGCCTAAAAAGCTGAACTTAGAATGGGGTAGTCGACTTTCCAGTAGGGTTTAGCTGCCATTGAACCGGCAATTTGAGGCCCAAAGTATGGCATCCCCCCCTCTGCTATTTGGGATCTGATCCTTTTTACGTAGAATGTGACTGGAAGTAGGTCAGGAACTGCGTAGGAAGCACTTTGTTTTAGGCACAGAGCTTTGTAATGGGCCAGTTCACGATGGTTTAGCTTCCGTCGTCGGTGATTGTTTCTGAGGCATTGGTTAGGTTAAATCTTCCAGCAATGTGTTCCGTGGTCGGGACTGAGTTGTCTCTTCCAGAAATGACACACCAATGTGTACCTTAAACACCACGATATGTACACTTAAATACAATAATGGCACAGGATAGCACGATAATTATGGCCAAATATCTTACATCACGTATGTCGCTGGCCCAGCTCGCCTTGTCTTTAGGAGAGCCACAGCAGAATGTGCAGGACACATTGCCATGCGGTGTTGAGCAGACCAGGCTGAAGGCCAGATTGGCATGCAAGCCATACTCCTCTGTGGTAATAGGCATACATTACACACCATACACGCATGCACATGCACGTGCACGCACATAACACCCAAACACACACACATCACACAAATAAACAAACAAACAAACAAGCACACACACACACACACACACACACACACAAGAAGGCAAGAACCGCTATACTTCCAGTGCTATTGCCTACACACTGCAAAATCGACATAGTACGATACCAACGTGATAGAGCTAGACAATTTTTTTTCCAATACATTGGCAATTACATGTTGTATGTTATGTCTCATTGATGTACGCCAGTAACACTTCTTGAAAGTCAGGATCTGTGTCTAGAGATCACTTTTATTCACATCTGGAAGGACAGCCAGACCTCGCACAACCGCACACATCCGTTTTCCACAAAAATATCCGGATAGGCGAGGGAACCGGATAATGGAACGCACGTACTGTATGTACGCATGGCATGTGCTGCAAATTGGTAGCCAACGATTTTCTTCCGGATGGTGAGGGATCCGGATAAAAGAGGACCGGATAAGCGAGGTCTGACTGTAACACATCACGTCTCGGAATACATCTCTTCACTTACGCTCCAGCTCGTCATCCCGCATATTTTCTTTGAAAATGCAACCCTTGAGGGGCAGTACACCGACGTCCTGCGGACACAGCATATGCGTGTGCACACACACACACACACACACACATACGTACAAACACACACACACACACACACACACACACACATACGTACAAACACACACACACACACACACACACACACACACACACAAACACACAAACACACACACACACAAACACACAAACACACACACAAGTACGAGCACAGACAGACATACCTTGAACCTTGAGCTTGCACATTGCCGAAGGCAATGATAGCGAAAGGACAGACAGACACACACACACGCACACACACACACGCGCGCGCACTCCCCCCCCCCCCACATACACACATGAAAGTACGAGCGCACACATACGCACCACCCCCCCCCCCCCCCCCCCCCCCACACACACACACGAAAACTGCACTGCGCTACATCATACTCCACTTGCAGTGCCTCTAATTCAGGGACACACATGGCCTAGCATGAGGGGAACGTGGATGCAGAGACTTGGACTTGGGGCCTTTCCATTTTGTGGTGAGTCTGATCTACGCACCTCCCATTGCTTTAAAAGCAGTGTCTGCGCCTTGATCCTTGAGATTGTGCAGAATATTCAGTCCAGTTGGGTCGGATGCAAACAGTGAATTCGAGGACAAGGACCACCAATTAGCAATGGAAGTTGATAACTAAGGACTGGCAAAGCTAGGTTTAACAGTTTGAGTCCTGGTGGTGACAGTCAATCTTTTCTTCAGACTTTCCCGTTTGCATCGCTCCCTCAAACCAGTGAATATCTAATGGTGTTCCTGATCTTATCATTCCTTACCTTGACAAGTTCGAGAGTTTCATTGGTGATGCGTCGACAGACTATCAAGTGTTGTGAGAATAGGTAACAGTGGCGCTCCCGCAGTTTCTTGTCCTTGCGAGCCATTGATCCTGACGTGGTGAACATACGCTGATGAGTGAGCAGACCTGTGTGTGTGTGTGTGTGTGTGTGTGTGTGTGTGTGTGTGTGTGCGCGTGTGTGTGTGTGTGTATGTGTGTGCATGGGTCAGCAGGGAGAAATGTGAAAGCAACAAATCAGGAAAACCAATATGGACGATTTGAGCCCAAGGAAAGGCGACGCGAACTTCTTCCAACGGTGTTCGTCTATATTGAAAAATGCATCCTTTGCGGCAGAAGGAAGACGCATCTGTTCCACAACAGCTGTGATCAAGCATTGTATCATACGGTGGCTGTTCATGTACTCTTTGTCAGCACAGGTGCTAAGTTCTGCAGGAGTGACTGCTCAACATCTGGTGTAATTGGTCAGCTGCAACGTGTGGCTTGTGCGTCCCGGTTCAGGGGCGTCGGACATGCTGCGGTCGCTACGGCATTGACCGTATCACTCTTCATCCCAGGCATCCCGGGAATCAATAAAAATAACTGATCTGCGGTCTCAAGATGGATTATTTCCAGAGGAGCCACCTCAGCCCCACGAGGAATATTGTACTTCAGGTGGCTGACCATGCCACCCAAAAATACCTTCCCACACCCTGCTATTTCTTACTACATTATATTGTTCATCAGGATTCCACATGCTAGCATGCACGCACGCGTACCGACATGTAAGAAAATGATCCACAGTGATGCAACATCGTCAGTTCACGAATTCAGTTCACACTACATACCGTTTCTGATCATGACTTGTTTGGGGCTGAGCAGCTCAATGCAGCCACGCTGTATGGTGCTTTCAACCTTCAGCGTCTTGATCATGCGCTCTCGTAGGCTAGGCTCCCCGTCAATAGTCTGAAACAGAGATGCAATGATGTTCACCATACATGTACAATGATTGGAATATCACAGAAGCCCATTGCCTGAAGAGTGCTCAATGCGAGTATATAGTGCGAGTGCACATTGCGAGTGCATAGTGTGAGTACATAGTGCGAGTGTACAATACGAGCGCACAGTGCGAGTACACAGTGCGAGTGTAGAATGCGATTGCACAATACGAGAGCACGATACGATCGACAATGCGACTACACAATGCGACTACACAATGCAAGTACACAATGCGTGAGCGCATGACGAGTGCACAGTGCACATTACGAGCGCACAGTGCACATTACGAGCGCACAAATACGCACAATATGAGCGCCCAATGTGAGTGTAAAATGCTCTACCCGACCGATTCACTTACCGTCTTGACTTCATCGAGTGTGGCCAGTGCCTGCTCGAGGTGTGCCCGATCGACATGGTAACTCGGCGTCACCTGCAGCAGTGCCTGTATCTGCTTGGTGTAGTGGCTCAGCTGTAGATATCAATACACATAAGAAAAGTGCAACCTTTCACGAATTACACATCACCTAAACAGCAGCTGGACACATCAGCCCTGTTTGAGGAGATGTCCTGAATATAAATGCATTCCAACTTAGACAATGTATGAACAACTTAGATGAAGACAGAGGTCACATATCTTTTTTTAACTTTGAGGGAAGCATCATCATTTTGGCCAAGTAGCACCTTCTTATCACTTTTCGTGTTCAAATTCCCACAGGAGTCACTTCAGAATGGTAACTGCCATGCTTTGAATTCAAAATCTTCATGATCTGGTTGTGTGTGTGTGTGGGGGGGGGGGGGGGGGGGGCTTGACTGATGTGACGTGTTCACTGCAAGATGCTCTACAATACACACGGAAGGGCTGAAGATCGATTATGCACTCTAGTCCAACAAAGACCGCAACGGGTCCAACTGTGAATCGATTCGCAAAGCTAACCAGTGCCGTAGGGTACATCTTTGATTGAAATGACCACCTCCCCCCCCCCCCCCCCCCCCTTCACCCTATCCCCACGACACACATACACAGTACACACAAACACACATGCATACAAGCACGAACGCACGCGTGCGCGCGAGCACACAGACACACACACGTACACATGCACACAACCAGGCAGGTATCCATGAAAGACACAACACATACAAATAGTTACCTTCTAAAAGACAGGTGAGTCCCATTAAGTTTACCAGCCAGTACGTACACCAAAACGGCATGTATTCATCTCACCATACACACTGTCTTTCCGCAGTATCCCAAGTATAGGTACTAACATAAGGCATTCAAACTTCCATTCTCCTCTGTGACCATTGCCCTACCTGCTGTGTTGGTTTAGCCAAGAGTTCATTGAGATGCTCAACAGTGCTCAGATTGGAGAAACTGAGCAGGACCGCTACGATGTCCGGATGGCGGCCCTGCGGGTCGGCTTTGAAGACCTCGCGCACCATCTGTCATGGGGTAGCGACCAAACACCCCAAACATGCGCGCATTCATGCACACGCACATGCGTATACAAACACACACGCGTACGTGCGTGCACACACACACACACACACACACACACACAAGAAACCAAACATCACTTCCATTCTTCGTCCAAATGTTGCCAATTCTATGCCTCAGCAATTCCACACATGATGTTCATGTTTCGCTGAGGGAGCCAAAGGCAATCAGCATGGCGTTGGATAGAACGAAGGATGAGTACTCTACAGAGGTTATTCCCAGTCATGTGACACATATCATGGCCTATGGGGTGTATGATGGATTTGTGTGAGGAGCGGTAAGCCACAACGCAAGTTGCAAAGAAGTCGGTCATGTGCCCCATAACGTGGTATACCAGTTGACACAGTCATAAGAATGATGCAAGAATGACATGCCATGCACAAATGGCTCTTGCTAGGACTAGCCGTGAGTGCAGGCCCGTCGCACCGACTTTGGAGGTGGGGCGGCCATGGAAGGGGGCCTGGGGCCCTCCGGGAAAAAAAAAATGAAAAAATGAAGCCAATTGCCAGCATTTCCGGGCATTTGGTGCCAATACAGCGTAACTACAATGAAAGACTTTTTGATTCCGCAACAAGCCACGATCGGGGACAATGATTTTTCATTATTTGCTACGTTTGCGCTGAGCTGCGATCATCGCGCTTTGTTCCAGTGTGCTCCGAAAAAAAGGCCGAAAAAGTGGGGCGGCCGCAGCCTCCCCAGCCGCCCCGGCTGTGATGGCCTTGGAGTGTGCGTGATCATAGAACACATGGGGTGCGAGGTGGGGGATGAAGCCATGTAGCTTACCGCAGTGGAGAGTGCACTGTTGCGCGTGTACTCATGGTAGAGAGAGAACATGGGAAACGTCACGTCGAGAAGCCAGCCTGTACGTAGAACACACACAGTCAGAAACAGAACAGAGCGATAGTTAGCAGCCAGGTGCCCTGCATGTACAGCAATGACTACCAATAATTATGACTTGTTTCAGAACTCTTCTAGAACCCTGCTAGAGTAATCTGTCCGACCCTAGCTATCACTAGAGACTTCGAGTGATTGAAGAGTGCACTGCTTCTGCAATGTATGACATCAGGGTCGTTTTAGGCCGCATGCACGCACAATGCACATTCATCAGCAAGTAACAACTACAGAATGAGTACATGGAGCCTTACCGAATCTCATGGCTGGCCACTTCTTCACTTGCTGATGAAGGCCGGACAGAAACAGTTCATGCACGACGGCTATTTGTTCGCTGTGCAATGATGGAGCAAGTACAGGAGACATACACATACCAAGATGAACATGTTGTCATGGCAATATACCTACTTCACTGCACATTTGTGCAGGAAAATTATTGTCAGGCAAACAGGTTCACTGGCCATGATAACAAAATGATATCCCAAAATACTTTTAATCGTTTGAGGGTGTTTGAGAGAGAAGAAGTCTGAAGGAATTTTTTTCCACCTGCACTCAAACAGGGACTTTCAATATAGTGCAGCGATGCTCTGACCGAGCTATAGTAGTGCAGCCGTCTTATCAGCAGAGAGAATTCAAGCCATTGAAACTTACATGTTGGAGAATATCGTCATGACTTTCTCCAGCTTCACCTTGGGGTTGGTACTCTCAGCCGCCATTCTCATGGGTCTCAGAAACAGGTCAACGATCATGTTCAGCTGTTCTACGTACTCCTCCTCATTGGCTATCAGCTTCCACACCAGCTGGGGAATCACAGGGAATGCGAGATTAGAGACACTGCTTTTAAAGGGGAAGTTAAGGCAAAAATTAAAATTTCACCAGTTGTAGTCTTCGGGGTGCTGAGTCGAATGGTTTTGGTCCGAGGAAGCTGAGACGCTCCCTTCCTACTTGAATCCCAATCGAACTCGCGCACTTCCACCGAAACTGGGTGACTGCGCCCTACGAGATGGGGATTTGTATGCAAAATGTCACTAAAAACGCCATTTCGTTCTTATAAAAGCACGGATGACCGCGATTGGCCCATATGTTGTAGTCCTTTGGACGCTGAGTCGACTGGTTTTGGTCCGAAAAGGCTGCGATGTAGCGTTCCTCCTTTATTCCCAATCGAACATGGTTGAACAAGTGGTCACGTGCTCCTGCGTACACCAGTCACCTGGTCACCGTGCCTGCAGGGTACAACTTACTAGCCTGTTTGACCTTTTTTGGGTGCACTCCTGTCACTCGAGTTGAACCTTGGTGTGAAATTTGTCGCCTGCTGGCGTGGTGACCAGGTGATTTGGGCACCCAGGAGCACGTGACCGCTTGTTCAACCATGTTCGATTGGGAATAAAGGAGGAACGCTGCATCGCAGCCTTTTCGGACCAAAACCAGTCGACTCAGCGTCCAAAAGACTACAACATATGGGCCAATCGCGGTCATCCGTGCTTTTATAAGAACGAAATGGCGCTTTTAGTGACATTTTGCATACAAATCCCCATCTCGTAGGGCGCAGTCACCCAGTTTCGGTGGAAGTGCGCGAGTTCGATTGGGATTCAAGTAGGAAGGGAGCGTCTCAGCTTTCTCGGACCAAGACCATTCGACTCAGCACCCCGAAAACTACAACTGGTGAAATTTTGATTTTTGCCTTAACTTCCCCTTTAAAATACAGTCGTCTCCACTTTCCGGAGGATGCACCCAGCGTGCTGACAGTGCTCAACACCGCGGAGGCAGGGCGTAAAACACAGAACAACAAGGGCAATCGAGGCTAGTTTGTCGCTGCTCTGAGTTTCATGCTTCAGTGAGTATCCGAGGTTTACGCGCCTTCGACTCCACTTATAACAAACTCGCATAATTATAGCGAATTTCGTGATATAGCGAACAGTTGTATATATCCCAGTTTTAACCTGCATTGTGAGTGCATTTCTGCTATAAAGAACTAATTCTCCCGCACAATGGTGTTCGTTATATCAGGAGCTACTTTACTAGGATCCATGAAGACTGACAGACTGCAATAGCACTACACCTAGCGATACCTATTGATGGCAAACACAGGATGCAATGATAGCTGTAATGTCTGGTAAACCTACCACAAGGTGAAGAGATTCATAGAGACCCAAGCCAGGTTAGTCTAATGGTTTTCGGAAATCAACGCGAAAAATGGCCAGGTTTGGGGCGATACTTAGAAAACCGAGGTGGTCATGGCGACCCAGCCAGTGCCCCTGTACCAACACGTCGCGTATCACTTACTCTATTCCTCTCTCGTCCCACCTCAGCATGCTGTGACGAGACATACTGGTCGACAACCCGGACAAACTTCATCGCCCGGCGGTTCAGCCTCCACCGCTTCTGCAGCTGTACGCGAATAGACACAGAAAATGGGTGACGAGTCAGGGCACAGAGAGCTTGGTTACTCCGATTCTCTGCGGGAACGGCATGATCATATGCGACTGAAACGAAGCAAACTAGTGTAACATGCAATAAAGCATATCGCTTTATTTTCTTGTAAACACCAGCGAGAAAGTGTTTTCCTTTAAAATATATACTGTACTTCTTTGCAGAACGTGAAGTAAAAATAAAAGCTCTTCTTGGCATGAAGGAAAGCAAGCGAAACCGTTGCGGGCACCTCCAAAAAAAGATATGCTCACGACGAAGATGGGATTCGAACCCACGCGGGCAGAGCCCAATGGATTAGCAGTCCATCGCCTTAACCACTCGGCCACCTCGTCACCACACACTGATGTGCACACTGTGAATCTCCATAGCAGGATCAAGCAGTCACAAAATAAGAAAAGTTGAGATGCAAAATTCAAAGTGCCAAATTTGAGAAAATCAGATTTCAGCTCAAATGTAATCAAAAAGTCTAGGAGCAACACCAGGTGAAATTTCACTCTCTAAAATAGAATCATTTCAAAACTGGAACCCAAATATGGATTTAGATCCAAAACCACAGATAAAATGAATCCTTTTCGGCCAATATCTATAAAAAAAGCAATGAAATGCATTTAGCGTGTTTTGTATTTCAGCTCTTACCTTGATAATGAGCGGCAGTGGATAGGAGAATTCCAGCGTTTTCCGCCGGGCCACGTCTCGCCTCGGTGAGAAATGCACAGAGTCAGCTCGTATCTGCAACCGGGTACAGAGAGAGAGAAAAAGAAATGCAGTCCACCAAGTCAACACAGCACTGGAAAACCTGCCTTTGGTACAGCCGCGGAAATTGTCCTGATATGACAGGATTCCGCCGGATCCAGGTACACACGTTCGATCCACAGCACTTTGGTGCATGACGATTTGTGCGGTCAATACAGGATTCCGCTTCGTACAGGGTCCGGCAAACACAGGTTGTACTGTGCAGGTTTACGTTCTTTTGCGCTGTTCGCAGTATAATAGTTACTTCATGACTGGGTGACATGATGCGTGAGGTTTGCTAGTAGGTTGGTGGTGCTACATGGATTTCAGTACATTTTACTGCTGGTGTTGCCGTTATAGGAAATCGTTGGTCATTGGAATCTGTTCTTGCTCACCGCGAGTACGCATACGGTACATGCTCATAATAATATTATGATATTATGACTCTTAAAGCTGTGTTCACAACTGGCGCGTGGACTCGGTACGCTTGCGGTTCGTGCGTGCCCAAACGCGCGCTCAGGCTTTCACAAAAAGCAGCAATTCGACCCGTATGTAGGGCCCTTCGAGTACTAATTTTTTGACCCCGCCAGTCGAAGTGACTGGCATGTATGCTGGTACGTGCCTGATATGCGCTGAAAATTGCAACATGTTGGAATTTCCATTTTGGCACGTGTCCATACGCATGGCGTCTCAAAAGCCAGCAGAAATACGCACAAACGCGTGGTTTCACGCGTACACGCGCCAGTTGTGAACACAGCATAACGTGTGCTGGACACTGCTGATTCAGTTGTGCACTGTGTACATGAACTACAGCGCGTGCAATCCCTAAGGGTGCCGGCCAAGTCAGTCCAATGGATTTCTATCCACAACAGTAGGTCATCATGAATCATAGGAAACCCGTCATAAAGCAAGTTCCGTGCAAATCATCGTATCACCAGGGCGAGAACAGGAAATTTGTGTGCGCCTTTCGCCTTTTTGTACAACAAGCAGCCATACGCAACGGAAATCACCATGGTGATACGGTCAAAGTGACCACGTGAACTCGGTGTGAGATGCAGCAGAGGTGAGTGAGTCACTAGGACCTAAACGAAAACAAAAAATCGCTGTAGGACGATTCTCCTGGAGTTGTACAAGCTGGTCTATGTATGTACTGACACAGAGATATCTGGGCAAGTTGTACGGACGAGCTTGGCGAAGGGCCAGAACACACTACAAAAAAAAGTGGAGGATATGGGGTTCGAACCCATGGCCTCTCGCATGCAAAGCGAGCGCTCTACCACTGAGCTAAACCCCCTTTCACAAGATCTGAGCTATGTGAAAAGCATTTTATCGATCGTTATTGCACACCGACACACGCACATATTCACGTACACTCCCCGACCGGGGCTCTGCCAAACGTGGATGGTTGTAGTAAGGTCACTGTTTCCGAACACAGTGTCCTCCACCTTGTTTCATGCTGTCAAACTAACAACACGTACACTCTTGTGCGCATGCCCCCCCCCCCCCCCCACACACACACACGCGCGTGCGCGCACACACATCGTGGGTGAAAACAGCCAGCATGGCGATTGTCACATTTTAGTATTTCGGTGATAAAGTACCGATCTCCACTATGTCTCTGGGCCGTTAAACAGCCAAGTGCCGTGAAACCGAAAATCCCCAAATCGCCGCAACAGGACCATTGCAGCAGTTGAGATCGGCTAAACTTTCGCGATGCGACAAGCAATGTGGCGTACGATTTTGTTGCCTGTAAATGTTGACAAGTTGTACCAAACCGCGCGAATACCATGGTGACATACCCACCTGCATTGAACTTCACGCCAAATCAGCAAGGCATTGTCGCATCGTTTTTTCTGTGAACGGTATTTCGCAAGTTCGCATCGCACCCTCCGTCGCAGATCGCGTCGCATCGCCCATCGCATCGCATCGCCCATCGCATCGCCAAAAAGTTTCTGTGAATCCCGCTTTGCTGTACAAGACAAGAGCTTCAGCTGTAGTACAGCATGGATAAAAGAGATACGAGGTTTAGATACTGTAAGAGTTGAATCTCTAACGGGGCACAAAGCCTAACGTTTTCACGAGAAAAAAAATCCATCGCTACCTCAAGAAACGTTTCATTTATGTTATTCCTTCTCTCCTCCGTACTAGAGAAACAGAAGACAGTTGTGTGATGGCAGGGTCATTAAACGTTACGCCCGCCCAGTGGGATTCTTTTGCAAATCGTTAAACTTTAGACTCGTCACACTTACAAATCATACAGTAGTACTGTACGGGGAAAATATTTTCCCAAAAAAAGTGGAGGATATGGGGTTCGAACCCATGGCCTCTCGCATGCAAAGCGAGCGCTCTACCACTGAGCTAAACCCCCTGTTACACAATGTGCTGTCCCAGACATTTCACCCATACATATTGCTTGCTTGAGGCCAATACCAGTCCCCCCTCCCCATTCCCACATTCTGACTTGGTCTGTCAAGGAAGTCAAATGTCCGTCGTTGCCAAAGAGTTCTGCACGTTCGCCCTTTGACAATATTTCGACCACTCGGTGTACCAGTAGAAGCCAGTGGAAATCAGAGCGTTTCCGAAAACTCGGAAAAAATGGCCGCCCTGGTCTCGTGCCGATTTTTTGCAGCTGTGCCAGAATACCATAGGGCACCTTGTAATAAGACAACATAGTTCGTAGGAATACCGCTACTGTAAGTCGACACATTTTCGGCCCATTCAACTTTCGGCCTGCCAGGGCTAAAACCCATTTCGGCCGCATCAAATGTTCAGCCTGTTCTGCTGCTGCCGCCTGTACACACTGGCACACTGAACCTTGCAACAACAAAAAAAAATTTCCGGCCAAACATGACCAGGTCGAAAATAGCCGAAAATAATTATGTGCCGAATATTTGTTGACTTACAATATTCAAAAGATGAATACAGTCAACTTCGCTAAGGCCTCGTTTACACGACAACGACTGAAAATGTTTTTGTCAAAAACATTTTCAAAAGAACACGCTTCCACAGATTTTGATAAGAGCGTTTACACGACAACGCTGGAAAATGTTTTAAAACGTTTCAAACGAAAAACGGCCTTCAAAGTGTTTTTCAATCGTTTTCGTTCCGTTTCGTTCTCGTGTAAACGGCAAAAACGTTTTACTAGTACGAGCCTTGTACTCAAAAACATGCCGCCGCCAGCTTGCGCCAGGTCAACTTATTGCACGTGACCATTGACCATTGCGCGCCGAAAAACGTGTTGCAGTGTACACGATTATCGTTTTCGTGTAAACAGCAAAAACGTTTTTCAATCGTTGTCGTGTAAATGAGGCCTAATAACGACTGCGGATATAAGGATAATTCGCGAATAACGACAGAATTTTCATGTCCAGAGCAAAGTCCCATCCAGCTGTAATACATATCATGAGACTTGGGGTATAACGACACTTCGCGAATAAGGACACCTTTTATTGATGCCCCGCCGAGTGTCGTTATAAGCGAAGTTGACTGTACTACTTGACGTGCTACTATACCTGTGAACGTATGTGGATCAGTTCGTCCTCCTGGTCAGCACAGTCTTTGGCGAGTCTGACGACCTCCGACGTCTTGGCCTCCAGCTGGCTGCTCAAGCGGTCACACTGCTCCTTCAGCATGTCAAGCTGACGTAGCTGATTCTCAGTACTGTGCGGTGTACGCACACGTATGCATGTGTGCACACGTACACACATATGCCCACGCGGACATGCATAAACACACATACACACACACACACACACACATACGTGTATGCACTCACACATACACACACATACGCACGCACACACCAAGAAAAGGAGACACCATTTTCATATAGCGCAACTGATTGGTCCCAGCCTCACTGTCCCTTTTTGTGCAAGATAACTTAAAGGCGAGGTTTTACCCTAAACCACTATGCCCTCGTTTCCGTCCATTCTCTTCGCTGCCCAGTCTGCACCAGGTAACCCCTGTACAAAACCCCTGGGCACCGGATTCTGTTGCACAGAAGTGTGTACCAGGTACGGATCTCCTATTCCGTCAAACACCCGTTTGCCAACAATCTTCCTTGTGTAACACTCCTCCACCCCCACCCCACCCCACCTCACCCCCTAGCAATCGCTGAACCTCAACAATCACTTTCTTCAGTACCAATTGTGCTGACTATGCGATCGTCAGCCTGGTATCCGAGACCATGATAGGCTGGTCGCATGAGTGGTTGCTAAAGCACAACTCAGTCACTTGTATTACTCCCACCCAACTTCACTAGTGTGACTACAGTAAAACCTTGTTTAATTAAGCGACCACCCCACGATGCAAGCAAAAGCGCTCGTTAAAGCCAGGTGGCCTTTAGAACCAGGTCCCACAGTGTCTGTGTAGAACTGTCGGCGCATGGAAAAACGGTCGTTAAGAGCAGGTTTAACTGTGCTCACAACTGGCATGGACAACCGCTCTGTAGATTGCTACAGCTGTACTCACCTCGCTTCCTGTATAGACATGACCCACTGTTCACATTCATTGGCCATGGCGGTGGCAAAGTGATACTGACGCTGTGCCACTCCTTGGATTCCCACCACAAACAGGTGTGTCTCCTACACACACACACACACACATATAACATGTGCATACGCACACACATGTATGTACACACACACACACATGCATGTACAAGCATGCACGCACACATACACGTAGAGAGACACACACACACACACACACACACACACACACACACACACACACACACACACACACACACACACACAGCCAAGATCTCAGACCTCATGCCGGAATAAGCAGACCATGCATCATTGCCGCACAGCACTGTGCTCCTGGTCTGATCACCATGCACTACTGGTGCTGCGGTCCTCTGTCATCAGAGATACCATTGTGAACGCAACTGTGTATGCATGTGCCAAGAGTACACAACCAAGGGTGTGCAATAGTTACTCGACGATCTCGCAATCCAACTCATGTCGGAATATTGATGACATCAGTCTTCCTCACCCACTTGGCTCATTAACGTCATCATCCCTCGCAGAGATCACGAGCGCAAGGAATTGTACATCAGCGCTATGGCAGTCAAAGCACAGTTACGGATGGCAAACCGCCTCGCTCTTGTGCAGGCACTCCCGCCGGAGTGTGTCTACCTGCGGCAACAATGACCTGATCCGTGAAATCTGTTATTCTGGATTTTCCATGCTGTTAGCTATTTTTTACAAGTATTTTTGTGTTGTCGTGCTGTCCAATGCTGCATACAGAGGGTATGCTTTGCGTAATCAGCAGACATTTTCGGTGGCGTAATATTTTCGGTATTCTCCAAAATCGACGCTTCGGTGGTGGGAATTTTTTGGTAAAACCCGTTTTCCAGGTAAGTGTACTAGTCTACAGTACCGGTAGTACCAACATTTTTGATGTGTTTTATTTTTGGTAAAAATTGTCGGCACCGAAGTTACCGAAAATAAAACACCACCGAAAATCTCTGCTTTTACAGTGCAAAGTAAGTGCTTGCTCCCTGACCTTACACGTCATATGCTAGTATTATAGCCTACATGATCACATCTTTTGCATAACCCCTTACGGGGGTTCCCTCTACCCGATAGGGGTTATGCGATTGCATTATCAGGTGAGATGCTCTGGCAAAAACGCCGCACAGCGTGCTAGCGATCCACTAGCAACTCACTCATTATACAAATGCAGGTACGTAGCACCCGTAAGATGTTCCGCTGTATGCTTAGAGCCCACACGCGGTTCTGGAATTCCACATGACTTCACCTGCATAATCCCTGTAGAGGTTAAATTTGTGTTGGGATAGACTATTCAATGTTATAATTATGGTCATAATTGTGCTCGGCTTTGCCCGTAAAAGAGACGTTCAGCATCTCTCTGAGTGGGTGAGAAAGCGGAATACAGTTTTCCAGGCCTACGGAGATTGTGCGAATGATGTCATGGTGGCCAAGCAGCAGATGCGCTTATGGGCACCCAGTGTAGCGGATCCCCTTATGGTCTCAAAATATCGAGCGGGAAAAAGAGGAGGGGAGCAGCAAGCCATCGCTAGCACATCGCTACGCCCACTGCTTTGCCACTATATGGCAAGCATCTGAATTGATGATGTAACCTCCACACACACCGTCTCTTTGCGGGGGGGGGGGGGGGGGGGTGGGGGGGGGGGGGAGGGGTCCCTCCCTCAAGTACAATACGGCCGCTTAATGTCGGCTTCGCTTCAGCGTATTCTGTTGATCGCAACTTACTAACATAACTATCGCATCGCAACTGACGGTGTAATCTCCATACAAAGTATCTGAACTGGTGATGACCATGATGATTGCGAGAGCATGAAACTTCAAGTCGCAGCAAACAAGCCTTGATTGTCCTTGTTGTTCTGTTCTGTATTACGCTCTGCCTCCGCCGTGGTGTTGAGCACTGTCAGCACACTGGGTACACCCTCCGCCATGGTGTCGAGGACTGTCAGCACACTGGGTACACCCTCCGGTGCACCTTATACAAAGCTGGTAAGTGAAACCCAACCTCATGAGTATGGTATGGTAACAGTGAGTGTGAGTGACTGCACACGGCTCCACAATCACAAGCAGTACAGCAGCAGGCACAGCAAACATCCCCTGCGGCTGGGTTCCATTCAGGAGGCAGGACTTCAATTCGCCACCAGTGTCAAAATGATAACTCAGGGCATTTCTTTTTATTTTGGTGTGAAGATTTGAGTAACCCATCCAAGAGACTAAAATTAATAGGAATGCACTGCCTGTACAAGTGAGAGTGGCGCTAGCAAGCACAACCAACGCGTGTGTGTAGCTCCCATTATAATTTTACTGGTTCCCACAAGTCCTGATAGTGATACGACTTAGTGAATACGCACCAGTGTCCGCTTCATCAAACCTGCATTGTCACAGACAGTCCGCTGCTCTATGCTACGTATTTCCCTCTGCTCTAGCCACTCCACTTACCCTCTTACTTCGTTCATTCAAACTCGAGACGTGCCACCGTCGCAACCACAGCTGGTGCTGATACACAACATTCTACACGCAGCACAAGCGACGCTACACGACGCTCGTCGTCCCTCTCCGTCCCCTGGACACCACGACCAAATCCGAAAGGAACCTCAAGATGTCGGTACCCTCTCTCATTTCATTCATATCCTCAAAGCACGCGCCTCCAGGGAAGACGCTTCGCCACACTTCGGTCTCTCGCAGAACGAAGTATAGAAGTATTTTTTGGAGCAGCTGATCACCAAACCTTCGAGGTCTGGTCACCAGCTTCGCCATAGGCCCTTTTCAACCGAAATTGAAGAATGAGACACCCCATCGGATGTTGTGCGGAAACCAATTCACGACTGCATGTCCGATACGTAAAAGAAAACACGAGCGCTCTCTCACCCACGATCGCACTCAACGCAGTGCTTCTCTCTCTTTCTCACTCTACTCACCGGCGGGGCGTCGCTGGGTCGATTGTACGAGTGTAGTCGCCGGCAATCGCACAATTCCACCAAGATAACGCCCTGCGGACGCTGCGACAAGTCCGTCTCGAAATAGTATAGGATATTCTGGTAGAGAACTAGCCAGCGCTTCTGCCATTTCGTAGAGCCGACGCCTTCGTGCCCAGGTTTCTTCTTGACCCAGCCGCAGCGTGCTGGCGAGGCTTTGGCCTTGAGCGCCAGCGCTTGCAGCTGAGCCTCGTTGATCCGCAAGGGCATAGCTCATTCGGAGCAGGGCCAAACGAACTCTGGATGGGGATACGCGTTTGGGCGAGCCTGAGTAGCTCACGAGCACTCAAGCGGGCACGCTTTGCGTCCAGCCGAGAAGCAACTGCTAGTTCAGTGGTGGGCTCCGCTGGAAGCCCCCCAACAGGACATCGCGTGCGATCTTTCGAGATTCAGTCGCTTCACAAGCCCCTTGAAGCCTCGAATGACGTCCACCATCACCTACTCATACAACCACTTTCTTCTTCTTTTGTTCCAAAATTGAAAATCACAGAATGACCAGTTGTTTTAGAAACATTTTTTTGACGAAATTGACATTCCTTATGCAGTATTACCAGATTACTTGCCAAGTCTTGTTGGCAGGTCTTGGTGATACCAAGAGGGGACTCTTAGTATTACTGTATGTGGACCTACCTGAGCTGTGGTTGTCAGTAACTAACTTGTTGGTTACACTCACCGTCAGTAATAGTACAGGGTTACCGGTGTGCATTGACGTCGGTAGAGCCGACCAAGACCATGAAGACAACAAAATAATACTGTTACATGTTCGTAAAACGTAAGTCGCTACATGAGTCTGTAATCATTCATGATGATGATGACAGTCGTAGGGTGGTTCTATGTCACGTAAGCACCGCATAATGCCTTCGTCCAGTTTGGATGAGTGTCACGCCGTGGTGCGGAGCTGACGACTCGCCTTATACTTTTAGTTATAGCTTACCTGACTGGACCGCACTGCCGAGACTGGTGCAAACATTGGCTGCTTGTAATCTTGTGATTGAACGTAACGTCGTTAGATTAGCACAAGCCAAGATTGGTCACCCCCATCTCCCCACCAAAGCCAAGGTAACTATCCAAGGCCAAAAAGGGTCAATCAGGCAGGCTCTTTGACTGTTCAGTAAAGTATAGAACTCATTCGCAGCACAAAGAAAAAGTAGTTGCCGGTAAATAACACAGTTTTCCCCGTTTCCAGTTTTAATGGACCGTATGCGTGTTAAAACAAAATGGCGTCACGATTTATTGAAAGTGGTATAGTTGGTGGTACGAGTGTTCAAACCCATTTGAACTTCATACTGTTCGTCTTCTTTTTGACATGCTCTCTTTCCATCGTCCTTAGCTTTTGTTTGTTGAGAGCTGTTTTGGCTTTCTCCTATACCTCTGGGGGATGCCAAGTGATGGTTTTGAGAGGCTGGTGATGGCTGTGAGCGAGAGTTTGCCGATCGGCGTCGTCCTCGCTATAGCGATGAAAATACTAGTTACTGCGCACCTGGCAGATATCACAACACGTCGGAGCGTCCAGGAGCAAAGGAATCTTGGGTTTTCACTGGAATCTAGTTCCTCCAGCATCGTGTAGCCCACCGTCGGTGAATGGCGGTCCAGAAAGGTCGAACCTGGTCTTCTGCACCATCTCGCAGTCCTGCGAGGCACACTGAATACGCCTGTCATGTATTCTACAAATAAAAATCACGAAGTAGTGGATTCTATAGTGATGAGTCTATCCTGTACCCTGCAAAAGACACAGGAAATGTGACTGGTGTCCGTACACTGGACGCCAATATCCCATTCTTCTCCTGCAGGATCTGTTTGGCATTGACATACCGGTATGCAGTGGGTCGACATTGGCCTGGTTTGGCAGCTATCTGCCTGGGTGGATGTAGCAGGTTTGCATTGGCGCGTCGTCCAGTCCGACATTTTCTTGTAACTGTGGAGTACCGGCAGGGTTTGAGAGGTTGCTCGTGCTGTGAACACATCTCTACTGCCTGTCTCGTCCTGGAAGTGCCGTCTCGCCGCTTCCTTGCTCTACAGTCACGCCGTTATTTCGCTTTGTTTCGTGGTGCAGCTCAAAACCTGCCCAAACAACTGTGAGCTCACAACATGGTATGGACAAAATGCACCACTCATGCTGGTTAACTAAAACCGGGATAGTCGAGTAAGCGAGTTCACTCCCTGGGCCATGGCAAGATCTGTTCAGCGCGGGCTATTCCAACCTCCAAGTGCATAGTCACCGATCGATCCATGCGATGGTGGTTGACCTACAAAGAGCCAAGGTCTACGAATACTACTATTGGATGCTGTCTACATGCAGTCAACAAAATCAAAGTACCTCAGTATGCCCCAGAATAGGGCATGTGCATCTATAGCATGACACAACAGGGGTTCTGGCGGCACCTGTCAAACAAGCAGTAGCGACTAGTGCCAGCTACCTATTGGAGGCTAGCCACTACAGTCTGTCACTGGAGATAATTATTATGTTCACTGTTTAGACTGAGCACAATCAATGATGCCCAATCAATCTGCCCAATGTGTGTTCTGTTCCACCTAATTATAACGTCCCATCGCATCAACCCTACTACACGCACATGTCGTCACTCTAGCATGACTTGTGTTATTATTGTTTATTTTGATTCGCACGATAAATAGAGCACAATAAACGTTAACTTGACCGAAGGATAAAGGCGACTGCAGATAGAGGAACACATCGAAGTACAGGTACCGGCATCAATACAGTATCAGAGAGAAACAAACAAAAATGAGAGGTACGCAGAAAAAACTCTCGTAAGCCCAAGGGGAAGTGGTTGATGAGGGATGAATGCACTCTCCACGCTCATCTACACTGTTCGTGGAAATGCACACATACATACAATAATATACAACATAGCAATAGCATGCACAGAACCGAACAATTTCATGTTCACACATGCAAGCACAGACCTGAACATAAGTACCAAAAGCCGATACAGACAATATCCCCATACACACAGACGCACACACACACACACACACACACACACACACACAATGTCCCATGTATGCAACCGTGGCGAGAAAAGCACGCAAATCTACAAATGCACTGGATGTGAACCCACAGATTTTCTCTTATAGCAACGATAGCGGATCTGATTCTGAATGAAACACACACACACAATACAATCATTGAATGCCCATCCGCAGATGATGGCAGGTCCTGAAAGAACAGGCAGTGTTCCAGTAATGGGGATGTGGTGATATTGTAGCACCTTTCCCTGCATGGGTCTTGGCACTCAGGCTGCTAGTGCTACTGTTCGCACCCTAGGCCCTGCACTGCTGTACCTCTGGCGCCTTGCACATAACACATTCACATGTCACCTTTCAAGCCGCCTTTGCAGCCAGCTTCCCTTTAAAAGCCATTGCGTTTTACTGATGATTCATTCTCATCTTTCGAAGAGTTGGTCTGCCTTGAGCAGGACACAACATGGCGCAGCGAAAGACACGAACCTCTGTCAAGGCCAAGGCTGAGGAAGCAGCAGCAATCAACGACGGGTTGACAGAGCGGATGCAGCCAGGAACTCAAGAAGAAGGAAGCTTGCTGCAGTCTATCGTCCAATCCCTCAGCCAGCAGCAGCAGATTCTGCTTAGGCTCACAATGGCGCAGTCAAGCCAGCCTGCCGGCAGCGGCCCGCCACCATCCACCTCAAGGCAGCCAGAGGTAGGGCCGTGGGCCCGGAGAGCGGAAATACCCCACCTGCCCAGTCCAGACTCGATAGACCTAGCTGGTTTCCTCGAGTGGAAAGTCAAGTGGTCTGACTACGTGTCGTTGACTGGGCTATGCAGAGACGCAGGTACAGTTACACAGCAAGCAGTTCTCCGTACAGCTCTCAATGATGGTTGGGTGCGGCTGTGGCAGGCGGGTGTAGTTCCCATAGCCGACGGCGATGATGAGCGGGTTGCCATCCAGAAGCTGGAAGCTTTCCTGAGAAAGCGAAGAAACCCGTTACTGGACCGCAAGGCCTTCCATGGCAGGAGCCAGAGACAAGGTGAGAGTATCAGCCAGTACTTCTCGGGTCTGTCTCAGCTGCATGATGCGTGCAGCTACCCAGATAGTCTGCAGTGCGGCAGATGTGGGTCACTGTGCGGCCATGAGGCCCAACTTCGGGAAACCCGGCTCCGCGACAGGCTCGTCTGTGGCCTAAGGGATCGAGCGATGCAACGACGGGTGCTCGAAGAAGAGTATGCCAGTGAGTTATCGCTCGATCGGGTCATGCAGATATGCTCTGCATACGAATCCTCTACCGATACGGAATCTGGCCTCGGTGAGCAGCTGCCCGACCTGGCGTTGGCGGCGGCAACGAAGTCCACTTACAAGCGTCAGCAGGCGCAGGCAAAGACGCTGAAGTCGGACGTAGGCACGTG